GTTTGTGTGATTCAATTTTTTTTTCTATTCCAATTTTGCTATCTGCTTACGAAAATTAATTCCTTGAAAAAAAAAAAAAAGAAAACTTCGTTATCGTTTGTTAGTTAGTCCAAACCAAATAACGAACGTGCTGATCGATATAAGAAAAAATAAGAGAAAAAGAAATTCCAATAATTATGATTGCTAATAGTAGGATTATCACACACACACAAACCCCATTTCCCAACGACCTTTTCGATGATTATGTTGTATTTTTGTTTCGGTTTTTCATTGTTATTTTTTTCCAGGCCATTTTTTTCTTGTTGTTACCGTTTGTGTATTCATCATCATCATATATTCACATGACGATATATTCAAATCTTGATAATCTTTGAAGAATTTCGAAACTACCTAATTTGGAATTATTTCCAATAAAAAAAAATAATTGGCACCTCTAGAATATGTGTAGAAAATTCGAGAATAATTACGATTATCTCAAAGTTTTTTTTTCTTTGCCCAAAACTTGTCCCATTCATGTGATTGTTGATCTTTAAGAAATTTTTTTCTATTGTCGTTGTTGTTGTTGCTGTTGCTGCTGCTGCTGCTGTACAATTTTGAAAAGTTTTGCAAATAATTATGTTTAATCCACCAGAATTTTCAAACACATACACTTTGATTCTCGATGGGAGAAAAAATCTTTCTGTTTGTGAATCATCATCATTTTTATTTGTTTGACAATCAAAAAAATCAAACGAAACGAATCAAACAAACATTCTAACTGATGATGAAAACGATCCAATTTTGTTGAAATCATTTCTGATTCTTAGTTTTTTGTTGGTGTTTATTTCGCAAGAATTTCAATTTATTTGTGCATCGTATCAATCAACAACAGAAAATCGAAAACAATAGAATTCTGTCACAACAAAACAATTGAAACATTAAAAGATTCTTCTGGTTGCGAAAAAAATAGAATAGAATCCATTATTATAATTGAAAATTATTTGCATTTCTTTTCTCGAAATTATTTAGAAATTATTCTCTCACACTCTATATTTGATTCATATGAATTTTGATTTTTTTTCAAAATAAAAAAAATTCCCAAATCTTTCACATCACTGCTTAGTATTTTTCTCTTTTTCAGTTTTTTTCTTGGGAAAACTTTTTTATGTGAAAAAAACAGCAGCAAAAAGCGGATTGTCTATTTTTTTTTTCTTAGTTTTGTTGTTGGTGGTGTTTATTTTTTTTTGAATTCTTACAAGGAACGAAAAGATGAAAATAACATCCGGGAATCATCATCATTTGAATCGGGTTTGATTTTTGTCTGGCTGACTGATGTTCATGATGGACCCCTTTACAGTCCAGTGGCATATAGAGTTTTTTTTTGCTTTGATTTTCATTTTATATTTCAATAATAATGTCATTCATACATATCGTTATTGTTGCGGGCGACTATATTTATGAACAGCTTTCAAAAGAAAATTCTTTTTTTTCACGTCATTTGAACTTTATGATTAATGATGATGATAAGACGAAGAAGAAAATAAGCACATGGATCGAAAACGATGATGATGAACGAAAAAAGTTTTATTTTTTTTTTTTTGATTTTCTAAATTTTTCATTACACACACACACAATAACTTTGAAACATTGAATTGCATTTTGAATGAAGAAATAGAATTCTAAGAATTTTTTCAGAATTTAAAATGAATTTATTCTTCCTTTTTTTTCCCACTGCACACTATGTTTTGCATGAATGAATGAAAGAAAACGAAAAAGTTTTTCAAATTTTTTTTTCTTCTGTTTTTGAATTTAAAGTTTCGTCGTTTTTTTCACTGATGATTATTATGATACTCGATGAATGTCACATTGATGAGGAAATAGAAAATACAAATTTGTATAACCAAACAACAAGAAAATTATGTTGACTTTATTTTTTTTGTGAAAAAAGTTATAAATTTACAATGACGATAAATGATGAATGATGCATCGTCGTTTTGTTTTGTTTTGTTCTGTTCTGTTTTCTTTTATGATCAATGTACACTGTAGATTGATGAATTATTTTGTTCTTCCTTTTTTTGAGATTCAAAAATTTTTTTTTTTGTTATTTAATTTTTCGGACAAAAAATGAATTCATTATTATTAATCGTTTTGTGTGTGTTTGTTTGTATACATATGTTACTGTTGGACAATTGAAAATGAAAATTGATTCCGATGCTAGTGGTAGTGGTGGTGGTCATTTGTTTTGTTTTTTTTTTTTTTTTTGCTCCACCCATTCACATTGATATAATCAATTTATTATCGTTATTCGATTGAGAAACTATATGCAGCCTAGAGGGGTCAGGCAAAATATAAAATGAAAATGAAGAAAAGAAAACATATTGGTGATCAAAAGAATTTAAAAAATTCATTCATTTTTCGTCGTATGGTCAAAATATTTTATTGGTACAAAAAAAAATCATTTTTCTTCATCGAGTTTTTCAAATGAATGAATGGAATTTTTTTGCCTGAAACTTTTTCCAGATGCCTGTATATTCATTGTAACTGTTTTTCTATTTCTTAATTTTTTTCCCATCCATATTGAAATTGTTGTAGTGGCTGGGAAAATCTATTGCTATTTTTTTTTTTTTGAATTCCGATTTTTTTTAACTTGTTGGCGCCATTTCCACATTCAATTTCAAGATGTGTCTGCCTGTTTTTTCTCAATAACTTAATATTATTATATCATCATTTCCGGAAATTAATTATTTTCAACAACCGAAAAAAAATGAATAGAATAGAATGGAAATAACAATAAAAACGAAAAACACACCCATTTCACTTGCTTAAATTATATAATTTGATGATGAATGTTTAAAAGTTTCAAGTTTCATATGATTTTTTTCCTTCTTTTTCAACATTTTCACATTTACATTCAATTTTTTTTTGTAGAAATCCGGAACAGGAAATTGAAACTTTTTTTCATCATTGCAATATATTCTAGATTCTTGATTCACACAATGCAATGTGAATTGAACACAATTCACGCACACACACCACCCGCCAACACTTCCTTGAATATATGTGAACGCAATAAATTTTCTTGAAAATGGGCAAAAAAAAAATGGACATGTATTAATGAATGAATTCAACACCCCAAAATGAAAATGAAAATGAAAATGAAAACGAAAGATTAATTAATTTAGTGGTTGAAAATGAAAATCCGATACATTATTTTACAACACATTGTTAGTCTGCCAGCCTTCATTATCATCATCATCAGTTTAGTTTATTCATAACAATCGTTTGTGTTATAAAGAGTGAATACTCTCTCTCTCTCTCTCTCTCTCTCTCTCTCTCTCTCTCTGTATGCGTGTTTTATTGTTTTGTGTTTTTTCTTTTCACAGCATAGAAACACAACCCTTTCATTCTCTTTGCCGTTGAAAACTGTAAAAAAAAATACTGAATAAATAATTGAGTGAATGAATATAGAGAAGAAAAAAACATTTCGAAAAATTATTTCACATGAACATGAAAAGATTCTGGATAATATTCTTTGCAAAAGACAAACCTCTTTAACTGTTTGCGTGTGTGCATGTGTATTTGTTAAACCGTGGTAGTTTGCAATGTCCATAATCCATGTAACAAAAAAAAAAAAATACATCATCATCACCATCATAATTAATGATTGCTGGAACCATAATTTTTTTGTCCTGATTTTTATTCAATAATTTCAGTTTCACACAGATGTCTATGATTATTTTTGTTTAATAAATAAATTCTAACTCAATAAAATTATTTGACACAAAAAAAATTTTCTCATAATAAACCAGAATGATCGACAGATTTTTTTCCGTCTTAAATATTTTTGCATTCCATTATTATTTGTGTGATGTTTATCATATTTTAATAATTGAATGAATGAAAAAATTCTTCCAAATTTCATTTCATTCATTCATTTAAATATCATTATTAACATCTTTTAACCTTTAAATGAGCGACATTAAAAAAAAGACAGCCGACAGACACCATGAATGCAAATATAACAATTAAATTCACTCGATGTGACTTGGCAACAAAAATGAATGCGAAAAATATTTATGAATTCTTTTTATTTTGATTTTTCGTAATGTTTTTTGACTTGTTGACGCGTATGGATATATAATGAATATATGACAGTTATTATTGCTTCAACGTTGACGATTTAATCATAAATTTTTTTAGCTCGAATTAATGAATGAATGAAAGAGAAATTAATATTTATACATGAGAATAAAATGGGATTAAGTGTTTTTCCCGAAATCCGAATAAAAAGAAAAATCCATCGATGAATTGTACAATCCAATTACCGACAACGATGAATAAATATGTCGCCCTATATATTAGATGGTGAATGCTAAATCTTCTTCATCATTTTCCCAAATATATTGTTCGTTTATCGTTTCCACAGAATCACTGAAGAAAAAAAAACAATAAACGATGAATAAATAAACGTTTTATTCACACAAGTACACAATCTAGTGGCCAACAATTTTGGTTATTTACTTTTTGCGTTATTAGCTTTTTCATTTCTTTTCTTCGTTTTTCGTTTGGTTTTGTTTTGTTTTGTTCTGTTCTGTTCATCATAGGTGTGTGTATATTTTGATATGGATTTAGATTCGAAATTGGACAAAAAAAAATTCCTCATTCAGTTGAATTTCCACTTTTATTTTTATTTTCATTTTTTTTTACTGACCAAAATCAAATTTTGATGAAAAAAAACCATATTTAAACTTTGTTTTTGTTGTTGTTTTTTTCAAACTTGAAATTGAATTTCAATTTCGATTTATTTATTTTTGGTGGTGTTTTGGTTGGCCACACACACACACACACCACACATCTATAGCTACCACGATGATGTGTGACATGAGTAAAGAATGAAAAAGAAAAATTTGAATTTATGAAATTTTTTTTTCTTTTCGAAAAAAATTTAATTTAATATTTATGAAAAACTTTATTGATTTTTTCTTTTGTTTTTTTTTCTTTCTCATCATCATTTTTTTTAGGTTGATTTACGTGATCTACGTTTACAACATAATCGCCTTAAACATATACGTAAAGGTGTATTTTATTCACTGCCAAATCTTCGTGATCTTGATCTACAAATGAATGAAATTGAAATAATTGAATCATTAGAATCATTAGCATCGCTGCAACATTTAAATCTTCAGGGTAATCATCTGACCGTATTTAATGGACAAATTCTGTCAAATTTTCCGTCCTCATTACGTTATCTACAATTAAGTTGGAATCGGCTTGATTCCTTGCAAAATGATACATTTCGTGGTCAAAATGAAGTAGAAGTTGTTTGGCTCAATAATAATCGCATCAAAAGGATAACGGAAAGTGTTTTCACTGATCTGGTTAATGTAGAAAAATTATTTCTCAATCATAATGAAATCAACACGATTGATGATGATGCATTTGTATCGATGAAACGTTTGAAATATTTAAATCTTGAACATAATCAACTGGGTCATTTAGGACGTAATATGTTTAAAGGATTAGAAATGCTAAAAGAATTACGTCTTGCTTCATCAGAAATTATTGGCATTGAACCGAATTTGATGGAATATCTACGTTCAGTTGAAATATTGGATTTATCGGATAATCAAATCTATACCGTACGACGGTCAATATTTCATTTGGCGAAAAATATACGCGAACTTTATCTACGTAATATAATGGCCGATGAAATTGAAGTCGATTCATTCGAACAGTTACAATCGCTGCGAGTGTTAGATTTAAGTCAGAATTCAATAAATGCTCGACGTATGAATGGTATACGTTTACCGCAGACAATTCAATTGTTGAATATTTCCCGAAATAATCTTTCAAATAAAAAAGGAATCGAACTAAGTCCGGAATTCATACATCAATTGAATGATAGTTTAGAAATATTAGATCTATCGCATACACATTTTCGTTGGACAATAAATTCTCCGGATTTTTTTCGTCCATTAATCAGCCTAAATAGATTACATTTAGATTCCAATGAATTGATACGTCTTGACGATAACAACAATGGATCATTTCCGGTATTGATGACACGATTGTCAACGCTAACATTACAAGATAATCATTTTGAAACGATACCATCATTATTGGCAACATTTGTGCCGAATATTCAATCATTATCATTGGCATATAATCAGATTAAAAAAATTCCAACATCAGCATTTGAAAATCTTCATCATTTGCAATGGTTGAATTTAGCTTCAAATCGTATCAGTGTTATTGAATCATTAGCATTTGTTGGCCTCGATCAGCTACAACATCTTGATCTATCCGGAAATGTTCTACGATCATTGTCATCGAATGTTTTCGATAATCTACCACGATTATATGATTTGTCATTGGCAAAAAATTGGCTACAATTTATTCCAAATAATCTATTCAAATCATCGAATGTGAATCATTCTTTATCAATCACTACTATGAATGAATTGAATCTTGATTCAAATCCAATCATTAAATTGCGAGAAGACTCACTTATTCATGATGGTGATGATTTTCCATTGTTAACCATACTTCGTGCCCAACACGGTAATCTAACCGTATTGACTACAAATGATTTTATTGGTCTCAATCATTTGGAACAATTATTTCTACATGATAATCAAATCCAAACGATTTCACCATCAACATTTCGTTCATTATCCAAATTAATTATATTGGATCTATCTGTGAATCGATTGGACAATCTTCCACAAGAACGAATAATCGGTCTTGCTCGTCTAGAATCATTGAATTTGTCACATAACTCACTTACAGAATTGCCATTATTTTCTCAAGATTTGGGCCAAAATTTACATACATTAGACATATCATTCAATCGTATTTCACGTATTGAATCCTTTGGGCATTTATCATCGAGCTTGAAACAGCTATCATTACGACATAATATGATTGGTTGGATTGCAAATAATGCATTTCAAAATATGACATCATTAGTACAGATTGATTTGCGGCAAAATTTCCTTACACAAATTAGTGAAACAATTTTTGAATCCATAGAAGTACGATTGAAATCGATTATGTTAGCCGGTAAGATTCAATTCCGTTATATGCGTGATTATGACAAAACGAATTTTAACTTTATTCTTTTTTCAATCCATTTTCATTGAAAATAATCCAGGTAATCCATTCCATTGTGACTGTCGTTTATTATCCATATATCAATGGTTGGAAGAACATTCACGTTTAGTTAAATTTGATAATGATTATGAAGAAATGATGATCTGTGACCAACCGGAAAAACTGAAACATGATTCTATACAAAGTTTACAACCGATTGATTTTTGTCCAATACCAATGATAACATTATTGGAGGTGAATAAAATTGAATCAAGTTCAATTCGTTTACGATGGGAAGTACAGAATGAAACATTGGTTGGTGGTTTTACCCTTGAGTATTATCTAACATCTGAAAGATCATTAACATCACCAGCTGGTTTACAACTGAATTCTGGCGCACGTAATGCTGAACTTCGTGATCTTGTGGCTGAAAAATGGTATACAGTTTGTGTGGAAGCTAATGGTAAATATCTTCGAACATCATCAGGTTCTTCAGCCGCTGCATCATCATCGATTGGATCTTCAGATCATCGAACCATGATTATGTCACAACAACAAGCGACAACAACAATAAATGATAAACCAAAAGCGCATTATATGATCAGTGATAATCATCATCCATTCAGTATTAATGATGTGACGGATAAAAAACCAATATTACAGAATTTTGTTTCCGGTAATCGAAAATGTTCACAGGTAAGTGTTTGCTTGTTTGTTCACAATTTTTTTTCTGGTTAAAATTTTCATTTTTTTAATTTTATTTTTTTTTTTTGACAAATTGATCGAATGATTCAAAGAAAAAAGATCGATGAACTCGATGAATTATCGATTCGACCGCGCTCGCGATCACACTCAATCAATCAATCAATCATTCGTGCAAAAACACACACACTTGGTATAAAAATTAAAAATAGAACAAAAATTTCAATTCATTTTCAATGTATATATCATCATCATCATCATCATCAAGAATGAATTGAATAAAAAAAAATAATAGAACGTGATCAGGATTTTTGATGTGATAGTTTATTCTGTGTGTGTGTGTGTGTGTGTGTGTATGTGTCAACAGGAATTAGTGAATCACTCTAGAAAAAAGATTCTGGAATTTTTTTTGCCTTTCATTTTTCATTCATTTATCGGTTATGATGATGATGAAAAAAAAATTTCAATGATTTTGTTGAGTTGAGTTGATAAACATTTTAATGTGTGTGTGTGATATTATTATGCAAATATCCATTCATCAGAGTGTAGTCATATTCAGTGCCCTCTTTTTCAATCGAATATAGGCTAGTAAACAAGAGGAAAACGCTTTTATTTTTTGTTTGTTTGTTTGATGACATTATGGCCATAATTTAACGAGACTGATGATAGAAATAACAACCATGAACCATGAAAAAAAGTCACCCGGAAGTTGAAATGATAATGATTGATAATCTCCGTTTATGAATAATTTTTTTGTTTTGGAAAAAAGCCCTTTTTTCCGATGTAAATGATGAGTGTTTCGTAGTTCTTTTGAATTATTTTATGAATCACCATTGCCAGAAATGTGAAAGAAAAAACTCTCATTGATTGCGAAATCAATGATTGAAAAACAACAACAACAATAACCAAGAAAAAAAAATTCCAATTCCAAACACTTGGAATAATAATAAAATGAATAATAAACGAATAATCATCAACAATAGAAATACAAAAAGAGCAAAAGAAAGAGATACAAAGTAATTACCTTAATGATGATGATGATGCATAATTACAATAATAATGAAAACAGCAACAGAAACAACAACAACAACAAAATCGCTATAATCATTAATTAATTAATTATTCTGTAATTATTATTATTCACTAGACATCACTATATTGTGTAGTAGTTCATTAGTCGAGTATGCTAAAGTATTGGGTGTACGAGAATTTTTTTTTTGTTTAATTTTTTTTTTTTTTTTTTTTTGGTACTTGAATTATTATTATGCATCACTTTTTTTCTACGGTTATTTCGTTCCAAAATGATAACAGGATGGAATTTTTCTTTCCACTGCTGTATTATCTTTTCGGAAACGAAACAATGACTGATGCAAATAAAAACTTGATACTTTTTTTGCACGTGTTTGATTGATTAATTTTTTTTTTGATTTAAATTTTATCAATTCGATTTAGATTCGAACATTATCGCCATTGGATGGCCGTAAATTAATTACATTACCAGCGGCAAGCATTGCCATTGCTATTGGATTATTCTTTATACTCATCATTTCTGTCTGTATTTTGACAATCATTATATTTCGTTTTCGTCGTAATAGACGTAAAATTAAACTCAGTGATACTAACACTGGTGGTGATATTGGAAAAAATCACAATGATATCAATGTAGATGACGATAATGAAGATGATGATAATCAACAACAACGTCGTTCATCAACAGTGGTTAGTTTTGGTACGGTAACAACAAATTCGATTGGATCATCGAATAATCATAAACATACACCAACCGTAACGGTGACAACACCGATGATGGATCCACATCATCATCATCATCAACATGGACATCATATTCATCATCAACATCAACATCCACATCATCATCATCATGAAGATGTTGAAAATGGTATAAATATGACTGAAATTACTGAGTTAGTTGATCCGATAATTATGAATGATTATATAACATATAGACATTTTGCATTACCTTGTGCACAGGAAAATGTTTATTCGTGACAAAAAAATTAAGAATTTCTTGTATTATAATACTTATGTATTGTAAATATAGCCATCATTCTTATTGTAAATAACGATAATGATTACAGATTATGTGAACGCCGCATCATTTTTTTAAATAACATACATTTCATTTCATAAATAACCAAACATTCTTATGCTTGATGGTGATGCTCAATTATATGATTTGTTAGATATTTTGGAACAAAAATAATACAGAAGCCTGAATAACTGTACTCTGTTCTAATGAAAATAATTATTTTCTTTCTTTTCCTCAATTCCATTTTACTCGTTTTTTTACGATTCTGGCAAAAAATTCTGGTTTTTTCCGTTTATGAATTTTTTATGATTTTTTTTTGTTTTGATTGGTTTTTATTCTTTATTTTGTTTATTGTTAAAATCATCGTTCACTTTTTTTTCGATGAATTTAATTTTTATCAAAGAAATAAAAATGAATGAATTTGATTTTTTTTTCGTTTCGTTTCAGTTTCGTAGAAAACAGTAAAAGATACGATTTTTTATCACTTGATTTAACAAAGAAAAAAATATAAATTGTGATTATACACACAAACACACACACACACTGAATACATACCTCATCCATCAAAACGCAAACATGAAAGAAAATTCTCTGAAATTCGTAGAAAATAGTTTACATTTTCTGGAAAAATTCTCGAAATACTGATGATGATGAACATCTGATGTTTTTGAGTGGAACATTTTTTTTTTTTGCTTGGAAAGATTCACTCTATACAAACACCACCATATATACATTCTTCACTTGTAAATAATGATTTTTTTGTTTGTTTTTTCACGGTTGTTTTGTTGTTGTTGTTGTTGTTCAAATGTATTTTGATATATGTGTGATGATGTAATAATGTAAATATATGCACAGCATTCATATATACACATACACGAACAAAGTTGGCTAATTCAAAATGTTTTGAATGGAATTTCAATATAATTCCAGAATATTCTTCTTCGTCTTATTTTTTTTCGGTACAACAAAAAAACAACACACACACACACATTGTGTAAGTAAAATGTGAAATATGAAATTCAATCTGTAAAAATATGGAAAATAAAGAAAACATTATCACTGGGAAATAATAATAATAAGTGGGAACCAAACACTTGGAACATGATAATCTTGTTTCTTTTGTTTTGCATATAATGTTTTTGTTTCAATTTTTTTTTTTCTCGGCATAATGAAATTGTAATATTTCAAACAAACGAACGAACGGGAAACTGTAAGAATTTATTCTATTTAAAATGAATGTAAGATTTTTTTTACACTTTCTCTTTCTCTCTCTCTCTGTCTCCTTGTAATATAACAGAAAAATTCATAATTTTAAAAAATAAAAAACAATTTCCAGTTAATAAAATATGGTTGTTCCAGAAACGGAATTTCATTTTTCGAATAGTTTTTTGGTGAGATTCCATTCAAATATGATATGTTGGAGTTTTTCTTTTCACACTGTCTGTTTGTTTCATATTTTTTTTGTTTTCATTGTTTTTTCTTGGTAAAAAAATTGTATTTTAAAAAATTCGATGACAACAACAACCATGATGATCATGATGTGAAAGACAAAACAAAACAAAACAAAAAAAACTACATAAAATGAAAGACAATTCATCATCCATAATTTTTTCATTTTCAATTTGATTTTTGTATTTCTATGCTACTCCCTTCATCATCATTATCATCAAAACAAAGAACAAAGACTTCAAGTTGGATGAGTAAATCTGTATGTGTGTGTGTGTGTGTTTGTCGATGTTCTTATCTTTTATTTTTCTCGAATTTTTTTTTTTTTTTTTTTTCTGATTTTCTCGCTATTCTAAATTCATTAGTTTCAATGTATAACAATGACAACAGCAACAACAGTGGCAGCAATATAAAGTGATGATCTAACAGCCTTACGTCATTATATAATGTCATTATCATGTTTGATATGATGATGATGATGATGATGCGGATGATGTGGATGATGGAACGAAACAATGAAAATAACCGATGATGTCGTTTTTTTTGGACCATCCATGGATGATGATTAGATTTACAAGAATAATAGAATAGAATGGAATGACTTATGAATACAATGAACACATTTTGGTCGAATGTGCAACAACTTTAAATTATAAAGTTAGTGATAATTTTTCACAATTGCCGACAAAAATGATGAAAAAAATGTTTAAATTCTGTGACATTCTGGTGATGATGAACGAAATTCCAGATGATAAATGTGTTTGTGTGTCTGTGTGTGTGTTCCAGGAAACATTCGATTAGTGTTTTATACAAACGATTAACAAATTCTATTTGTCTATTTCATCAATTTCATGTGATGAAATGCAAGCAAAACTCTTTCATCAACATCTTTTTTCTTGCAACAATCGGCCAATTGAATTATTTTCTATACGAGAATCTAATAAATCGTTCAAAATGAATTTCATTTTTCATTCATCATCCGTGTGTGTGTGTGTGTATCAAGTGTCCACATCCATTTCTGATGTGAAAATCAATCTTTTTTCTCTCGGTTTCAATCTTTGTTTCCAACAACGACTATGACAAAGTATGATATATATCTCCAATGTTGACCTAGAATACACACAACGATTAAAATGTTTTTGATGCTACTTTTTTGACGACGACGACGACGACAAATCATTTATTCTCCGACAAATTCGTCGTTCAATTTAATTCATTGTTTTCTGTTGTTTGTGCAGAAATAGAAATAGAAAAACAACCAGAGCGATCCAGAAACATTGAAAATTTGATTTATTCCAAATTGAGTAGTTATTTCATCATCATCATCAGAAGATGAATTTTGAATAACAAGAATATGGTCTGTTGGGTGTTTGTGTTCCGGATCTTCTTCCTTGTTGTTGTCGCCAATTTTTCCGGTTTCATTGGACAACAATAAAAACAATTGTAATAATAATAATTTATGATTCACATTTTCCAAAAAACCAATGTTTCTGGTTTTTTTTTTTTTTTTTGGTTGGATTCTGGCCGACAACAAAAAAGTTTGGCCAAACACCCCACACACACACACACCAAACTCGATAAAGTTTCAAATAACCAAAAAAAAAAAAAAACTTTCACATTCTCATTTTTTGAAGGGGGTCATTAACATATAACTGGTGGGGAAAAAATGTGAACATTTCTTTCAAATATTGTAATCTTTAAGCCATTTTTTTGTAGATTTCACACATGTTCAGAATCATTGAATTATAGAATAACAAACGAATGGGTTATTTTTTCTCTCTCTCTCTCTCTCTCTATCTGTTTCGATTTTTTCCATTTTCTGCTGTTTCGGACATCCACTATCTGTGTGTGTGTGTATGCTTGTGTTTATGATGGTTTTTGATTTCGAGTTACAAAATTAATTATTTTTTTTTTTTTCCGTTCAACGAACAAAAAAAAACGAAAAACAAACCCGTAATGTTTAGGATGGCCTAAATCTAAATATTTAGTCGGGTTTGTCTGATCTAATCTGATCTGGTTACTGTTGCAGATCCATTAATCTGAAGTTTTTTTTGTTGTTGTCCATTTTCCTTTGTTATCGTTTTTAAATTCAATAAATGGATGGCAGCAACCGGGAAAAAAGGAAAACAAAAAACGATTTAAAAGGGTCCGAATTTCGGTTGAGAGAGAGAGAGAGAGAGAGAGAGAAAACAAAAAGAGGCCAGCAAAATGATGGTTCAAGCAAAAACAACAAACAAACTTTGACATAATGTAAAATCATTTGGCGAACTGGCCTGTGTACGAATATTCAAAAAAGCAATGAGCAATACATCAGCCTGGAATGAAAGTTTTCATCCACAACAACAACAACAACTAAAGGCTAAAATAAAAAAAACAAAAAGAGTAGCCTCTTATCGGCGCCACCAATAAAAATAAACGAAAGCGAATTATGAGAAAAACATTTGCATTCGATTTTTATCGAGTTATGGCTATAGCACTACGACCACCACCATCATCATTATCATACATGATGATCGAAAAGTTTTCATCATCATGTAATTTCTTTGAATGAAGAAGAAAAAAACTTTACCATTCATATTTTATTCTTTGTGTTTTTTTGTTGTTGTTGTTGTTGTTTTGTGTCATTATTCTTATTGTTTCTACTACTGTTGAATTTTGTTTCCATTTTGTTGAAATTGAAAACCAAAACAAATCTGAAGAAATGACCTTTTCCCTCTGCTCTCTCTTTCCGGTAATAACCATTATCGTTATTATTATTATGGCTATAATTTGAAACTTTTTCTTGTTTTTTTTTCTAGAGGAATCATGACCTTTGATCATCATTTATTCAATTCAATCCGATTGATCAACACAATGGAATATCATCACAAATAATGAAAATAACGCCATGAAAATATTCATTGATTTTTCTATTTTTTTATTTGCATCATTTACCACCATCATCATGAATGAATATGCGGTATATTTTTGTCCATTTATTTACAAAAACTTTGTTGTTGTTCTAATGATTATCATTCTCTTCGTGTTTAGGGAGTGAAAGAATGAAATGGAAAAAAAACAACAACAACAACACTGTTATTGAAACAATGAAACAAAACTCGATATCATCCGCTCGAACACCGCCATTTTCTAAGAAAAAAACGGGCATTATGAAATGAATGAATCATCTGAATCCAGGAAAGAAAAAAAACAAGGAATCCAAACACACACACACACAGAGAATGAGTAACGATACGGTATTTACATTTAGACCAAATTATTAATATTTTTTTTTTTTTTTTTTTTTGATTTCATTTTTACCATTTCTAGATCTATATATGGAATATAATAGACAAAACCGAATAAACAAACAAAAATAAAACAGAAAAAAGCAAAACAAAAAATTCAAACTAAAATCCCGAATCAACCCTATTATATACACCAAACCCAAAAAAACAACAGCGACGAAACAACTCGTTATCATCATCATCATCTCAACATCATCATAATCCCTTGTATACTTGCGAATACTATCATTGGATGGATCATCATGAAAGCAACGATGAAGATGAGAAGAAAAAAAAACATTTTCCCGTTTAAAAATATAATGAAAATAATGGGCCACCCGTATGTGACAAATCTAAACCAATGAATATTGAAGACAGAGAGAGAGAGAGAATGGAGAAAAAATCGATGATAAAACCGGGAATGTTTTTTTTCGCTTTCTTCGGGAAATCCAATTTTTTTGTTCATAGTTTATTTATACGTGTGTATATGTGGATGGCGGATCGTTAACTAAATTAACGATGATTGTTGTCTGGTTTATTTTTCCGGGAAAAGTTTTTTTTTGCTTCTATTTACCATAGATGTATGCAAACGGCGATTGATTGAAAGATTCGTGCCGTTACATTATTTGTTATATAGAAATTTAAATTTTCTCTAATGAGTCATTCAAAATTTCAAAATCAATAATAAACAAAAAGAATCCGCAATGTTTGATGGTGAATGGATATAAAGTTTATTTGTTTCATTTCTTCTTGGTTTTTTTTCGTTTTAATAATTCCTGGGGCAATTCACTGATGTGTTTAGTATACTTTTGGTATTGATTTTGTGAAAATTTCGGTTTTTTTTCGTTACTTGATAATCATTTCATTTGGTTATCGCATATCACTAAAGTTCCAGGCGAGTAGAAGTTGGACTCTACCAATAATAATGACCAACGATGATGATGATGACTGAAAAATGAAATAAAATGAATGATCAACAGACCATGCAAAAAAGCGAAACAAACGAATTTCGTGGGTATTTAACCAGTTTAAATGAAACACATCTCGGACACTGTGTGTATGTGTATGTGTACCCGTGAACGGAAATTTGTTTTCATCACCCAATTATAAAACAAAAAGGGCTGTAATAGAAACAATGAAAAAAAGGGAAAATTCTCGATGATAAATGTGTCGGTCCGAAGACGATAAAGTGAAAAAAAGGTCAAAGACTTTTGACAATTTGTTAACAAAATGTTCAAAAAAATAAAATGAAAAGCTGGAAAATGAATTAGTAAATGAATTGGTTCAATTATTTTCACACTCATCTTCATGTTGTTTTTTTTTCATTCAACTAACTAACATTCATTCTAATAAATTTGAATTTTATTTTATTCTATATCAAAACATAAAGCGCCGTCTTGTGCTTATAAATACAACCGATGTTCACTTTGTACTTTTGAATTTAATAGATGGAAGCACTGCAGTTTGTTTATTTTGAATTTTGAATTTATTTACTGTTCGAATCATCATCATCATCATTCATCATATATGTCGATAATAAAGTAAACGAAACGATTTTTAAAAAATAAACAAGAGAATTTTGATCATCATCATCATCAATTTCGAAATAGAATCATGATGAAGTAGCCAATGCAAGTGCACTGTATAAAGCACCACCATCGATGAGCAAACAACTGCCGGTCATAAATTTAGCATATTCCGAGCCAACATAGACAACCAAATCTGCTACATCATTCGGTTCACCAATTATTCCGATGGGTGATGATCGCCGTAAAAATTCTTCTTGTTGAGCCACTTGTTCTGCATTAAGACCGATTGCATTCAAGAAATTCGTACGAACACCACCCGGACTAATTGTGAAATATTGGTAAAATGAAAAACAAAATTGATCAAAAAAATCAGCAAACTTACTCTACACAATTTACTCGAATTCCTTTTGGACCAAGTTCTAATGCACTCACACGGGTAAACATATCGATCGCTGCTTTGGCCATACAATATCCATAAAATCCTACTAACTGTCATCAAAAAAAAAATCGAAAATCAAAATTTAACAAATCACTTTCATTCAGATATGAAAATTTACCGGTTTTGTACCACAAACACTTGAAATATTGATAATATTTCCACGTGTTTGTTCCAGATATGGCGCAGCCATCAATGTTAGATTGATTGTAGCACGAACATCTAATCGCATCACCTTATCGAATGTATCCAATGATTTTGGATCAAATATCGATGTAATCTGTGCATAGCCAGCATTATTGATCAATAAATCTAATCGTCCAAACATTTGAATTGTTGATTGTATCAAACGTTTGGCATCATCATCAATGGTAATATCGGCAATCACTTCTAATGGTTTCAATTTTTTTGGTGATAATTGTTGACATTCATTCGATACACGATTGACATTTTCACGTGAACGACCAGTGATGACAATCATTGCACCTAATTGTGCAAAACGTTTTGCAATACTTTCACCGATACCTGAACTTGAACCGGTTACCAATACAACTTTATTTGAATAATCAAATTTTATTGACATTTTGTGAATTTTGTTATTTTTTCTTTGCTGCAAAAAAAAACAACAAATAACCATTAATAATAAGGAACAAGAATCATCACAAAACAATGGACACAATAAGTAATGTTAAGTGTTTATATAACCCCGAATATAACACACTCACCAATCAAAAACATTTACACCGCACTTGCAAGGATTAGATAATTTTTATTTCAAAAAATTTCCATATTTTGAAATCTGGGGACATTTCGATATTTCATTTTGTTTTTTCAAGGCAATGACGATGAACAAATTTGTAAATTTATCGATCCCGAATAAATTTGATTTTATTTTGTTGTTTGTTTAAAAAAAAAATTAACTTAAAAATTTAAATCTTGAAATACACACACCATCATCATCTCAGAATGTCGTCGATTTAGTAATTGATAAATCGAGTAAATCGTTTTTACCATGTTTTTGTGCAAATTTATAGATAATTTTTTTAAATGTTCCCAATTCATTGCCACAATCATTCGCTGCTCGTGTTTCGAAACCTTTGCGAGTATATTTCATATGCAGTATTGCCTCGGATAGCCAAAGATCAGTATATTTAATTAGATAACCTATCGCCAATACAACCGAATTCAATGAACCATCATAACAATAGATTAATGTATTGCCATTTTTTAGATAATTTTCATGTATCTTATCCGCTACATCATTCATGTATAATTTTAATGTTCTTGGTTCTTTTGTACTAATTGGTATACGCAATGTTTCCATCATTAATTGTTGTTGCGATTGTTGCTGTAACTGTTGTTGTTGTTGTTGTTGTCGATGTTTTTTTTGTTTTTGTTTTTGTTTTTGTCTTGGTTGTTGTTGTTGTTGTTGATCATTATTATTGTTATTATTAATGGAATTATTCATAATTTTAGGAAAATCGACAATCGGTAAATCAATGGTAGCATTCAATAATAGATTAATATGATTTGTTTTCAATGTTTTCAATGACAGTCCACCAAAACTTGTAATATAAAAATTTTGTATCACTTTATTTGTTTCGATATTTGAATGATCAATTGTAGTTCTGATTACTAGATCGGTTGATAATTCATTCTGTATAAATGATTGCAATGAATTCAATGATATGTGTTTCTTTACAATATCAAGGCCATTATCTGTTTTTAATAATGTTTGATCACGATATAAACGTGAATCAGCTGGTAATTGTATCGATGATATTCGACTTATTGTAAATGGCCGTATACAACGTTGATTTGTTGTTTGATCCATTTGATTCATCGTCGTACCACCGCTACCACTACCATCAATCATTTCATTTGGATCACCATTTGCTATACAATTGTTACCATTGGTATAAGCTAAAGATCCTTGGTCTAAACATCCTATTATACAACAGTGGTTGCCCATTTTGAATTATCGATCCAAATAAGAATCATACACAAAATTTCAATAAATTTTCAATGATTTTATTTATAATCTACATCGACAACAATCACATTTACATTATTAAATCAATAATCAATAATTACAATTATGAATTTACAGTGGTCAAATGAAATAAAACAATTATTATGATTATGATTACACTATCATCACAGTTTCATTTTATAGAATTGGTAGCTAGTTGATCGGCCATTTCATTACCATAATCACCTGAATGTGCACGTACTTTGGTCCAGATTAGTCGGTCCATTTTATTCATTTCTTCATCCAGGCGCATAAATTCATGTTTATTCTTGACCGATTCACCAGTCGATAATTTCCAACCATTACGTTTCCATTTCGGCAGCCATTCGGTCATCGATACAATTATAAATTTTGAATCCGTATGAATATCTAAGGTTCGATAATTATTTTTCAAAGCTGTTTGAATAGCCACGATAGCTGCTTCAATTTCAGCACGATTGTTTGTTTGACGACCGACGAGTAGTCGAGAAACATTATCATTATGATCGATAGCCCAAAATACGCCAATACCGGCTTTGGCATTACGTTTGCCATTATTACAACATGCACCATCTGTATAGACAATTGGATCACCCAAATGATTACGGCGAATAGTAAGAAAATCACTTTTCCTACTTCTCGGACGTTTCGGACATTTTAAACTACTAAAAATCCCAGTAGTAAGCTTTTTATCATCACTTGTTAGTTTACTCGGTTGATGGCTTGATGATCTGGGCATCGACATTGCATTTATGCGAACAGCAGAATTATTCGCTGTTGATGTTGTTGGCAAAATTTTAGGCACCAAATTTGAATTCGAAATAGACGATGACGACGTGGTAGATTTATGATGAATATGAATAAATTCTTCGGCTTCGGATTTTGTTTTAAATTTCTTAAACTTGGCATTTTTGAAGCCTTTCACTTGTTTTTCACAATCATTCCAATCATTAAAAATTCCTGTTTGTCGGCCAATTGCAACGGCATAATAAAACATTTTAGATTTGTTTTGTTTATTTTGAAAATCACAGCAATTCAAAAATCAAAAAATCATAAATTCAATCGTTCGACAGTAATACAAGCACACACAACCAAAACAGACAAATTAGATGATGAAAAGACAACTTTTGCACATGCGCGTGTAGAATAAATTCGCGGCGAGAAAATTGACGAAATTTTTTTTTCGGGAAAATTTTTTTTAATTACAATCAAATTAAATTACGATGATGAAATGAAATATTTTTCAAATTTTATAATAATAAAATTATTAATAATAATAATAATCACCATAATAATCATGTATGACATTAATGAATAACATGTTGATGTTTTTTTTGTTTGTCTGTTTAAAACATTTGAACATTTCGAAAATTAAAAAAATTCATCTCATCATTAATCTTCAAGAAAAAAGAAATTACCACCGCGTTTCTGTTCAGTATCTTTGACCGAATTTAATTTATTTATTCTTGGCCGATAATTATTTGGATCACGACGAAACGTAATGTTCAGTAATTCCAAAAATCGATTCATACCAGACAGTAGTGATTGTGGTGATGTAGCAACCGTTTTTATTGATGGTGTACCTTCAAACACGATAACACGATCAGCTAGATATGTGGCCATAATAAAATCATGTTCAACAATGAATCCGGTCTTTTTGGAGTGTAGAAAAAATCTTTTAATAACTTTAGCAGCAACAAGACGTTGTTCTGAATCCAAATATGCTGATGGTTCATCGATAAGATAAACATCGGCTGGTTTACCAAGACAAAGAATCAAAGCAATACGTTGTAATTCACCACCGGAAAGATGTCGTACCTCTTGATCGAGAATATTATCAATCTGTAATGGTTTCACGACTTCGGCTTGAAAATGTGGATGAGTAAAAAAATCACGAATTTTTTCATGTAATAACATTCGAACGGTTCCTTGTGATTTTGGACTAATCTTTTGGGGCTTATAACTAATGTTCAATGTTGGCACATCGGATTCACCTTCATCCGGTTTTAGATTACCAGCCATCATTCGTATGAAAGTTGTTTTTCCTGTTCCATTTTCACCCAATAAAACAATAATTTCCGAATCGGTAAAAGTACCAGGTTCAACGGTTAATTCGAAAGGTCCCATACGTTTAATCATACGTGGATATTCATAACGACACATACGTTTTATTTCTTCATCAGTTGCTGTTTCGGCAACTTTAAAAACTAATGATGCTTCACGAAAACGAAGATTTTCTGTAGGCACAAATCCATCGAGAAAAATATTGATGCCTTCACGTACAGAAAATGGCATCGTCACCACACCGTAAACACCCGGTACACCATATAAACAGCATATAAAATCGGATAAATAATCCAAAACGGATAGATCATGTTCGACGACAATAATATATTTATTCACCTGTAATAGTGATCGTATGGCTTCGGCAGCTTTCAATCGTTGTTTCACATCCAAATAGCTGGATGGTTCATCAAACATAAATATATCGCCATTCTGGATGCATACCATTCCGATGGTGAATCGTTGTAGTTCACCACCACTTAATTCGGATACATCACGTTCAAGTATAGCATCGGTCAAATCTAATAGTTCACAGATTTCTTCCTTATTTTTCCGTTCATTTTTTTTATCGATCAATGTATTAACAGTACCGGCAATCGTTTTCGGTAATTGATCAACATATTGTGGTTTTATTATGGCTTTTAGATCATCTTCGAGTATACGTGTGAAATAATTTTGCAATTCTGAACCACGAAAATAAACAAGTATTTCTTGCCAATCAGGTGCATCGACACCATATCGTCCAAGATTTGGTTTCAATTTACCTGCCAAAACTTTCAATGCAGTCGATTTACCGATACCATTAGTGCCAACCAAACCGAGCACTTCACCCGGTCTCGGTGTTGGTAGACGATGAAGTTTAAATGAATTTGGACCAAAACGATGGGTCGTTTCTGAGCTTAAATTCGATGGTAAATTAATAATGGTGATTGCACCAAGTGGACATTTTTTGATACAAATACCACAACCAATACATAATTCTTCACTGATTTTTGAAATCTTATCATTCTGTGTTACTTCAATACACAATTTACCCATACGTACAACTGGACAGGATTTTTTACATTCAAGACGACAACGTTTTGGTTTACATTTATCATGATTAACAATAGCGATCCGGGTCAAAGATTCTTGTGTTTCTTGTTGTTTATGTTTGGGTGGCGCCATATCGTTGATCTTTCAACACGGAAAAAATGAGAATTTTAAAAATTGGTTTATTAAAATCGGTTTTTTACTTACCTTACAAATGTAAATATTTTCAGATGATTTAGATTTTTATTGTTGAATCTTTGGCGGCGGCGACGGCGGATACACGCATGCAATTTGTATTATAATAAATATTGAAACAAAAATGTACGGAAAGAGAACGATCACATGTGTGCAACTGTATTCATGTCAACGTTGAACATTCAATCGAGTGATGAACGAATTAAATCAGATAATCGATACTAGCAAAACACTTTTATCTCCATCTTATCGACACTAGATGACACTATTGAGAGAATTAATTGTTTTCCAACAAATCCAATAATCATCAATCAAATTAATTAATGTTAATGTTAATCTTTTTTATTATTTGATTTAATTATACATTAGCTATTCCAAACATTAATCAATCTAGTCAATGAATCTATCTATAAAGATGATCAGCCTCTAGATTGGCAGCAATTTCCATTTCCCATTTATCACCATTTTCTAATAATTTTTCTTTATTATACAATAATTCTTCACGAGTTTCGGTTGCATATTCAAAATTCGGTCCTTCAACAATAGCATCGACAGGACAGGCTTCTTGGCAGAAACCACAATAGATACATTTGGTCATATCGATATCATATCTAGTCGTACGACGGCTACCATCTGAACGTTCTTCAGCTTCAATGGTTATAGCCTGTGCCGGACAAATGGCTTCACATAATTTACATGCAATACAACGTTCTTCACCCGATGGATATCGTCTTAATGCATGTTCACCACGAAAACGTGGTGATAACGGTCCTTTTTCAAATGGATAATTTATCGTTGCTGGTTCTTTAAACATTTGGCCTAATACGACACCCATACCGCTAATTAATTCAGCATACATTATACCACCGATTGTATTGTCGAGAACTTTTTTTGCTGTCAATTCTTCATAATCATTGACAATGAAATAAGTGCCTTTCGAAAGAGCATTTGATGTTGTTATCGAACGTGATGATAGCAATACCGATCGAGCCACTGATGATCTTGAAACCAAACAACGACCTGGAATTGAAATTTTTGCAACATTATTAATGGATTAAAATATTCACATCAAAAATTACCGATATTTAATGCAAACATAATTGGAGAAAAATGTTGATGATTGATGTTTGCGGGATAAATAATAAAAAATGTCCTTTGGCAAGCTGACACGATGTTGTTTATAATATGGCAGGAAACTTTTTTTTCGCAAAATATTTTTTCCAGAAAATTTCCAAACAAATGCATCATCTGATCAACAGATGGCGTGGTGACAATAAATAAATGAATTTATTCGAATTTTTTCCCAAGTATTTATAATCGAAAATGTTTAATTCTTGTTCGTTTGATCGTTGATTTTCGATAGTTCGATCATGATTAATGATAATCAACGTGATTATCATCATGATTTGCATGATAAATCAAAATTTATCGGTTCCGAATATCTATGTGGTATGGGTGCAGGATTATTGAGTGTAATCGTTACGTTTCCAGTAAATAAACTTATGTTTCGACAAAGTGTATGGGGATTTGATGTAGTTAGTGCCATACGTCAATTACGTATCGAAGGTATCGGTTATCTATATCGTGGTATTGGACCACCATTATTTGTCAAGCCATTAACATCATCATTAATGTTTGGTACATATAATCAATTTTATCGAATGTTATGGATGAAAAATGATGGCTATAATTTACAAGCTTCATTGATTGCCTCATTATTATCTGGTGCTACCGAAGCATTGGTATCGACTCCATTCGAACGTGTACAGATGATATTACAGGATGGTCGTTTCAATAATCAATATACAAATATGTTTGATACATTTTATCAGATACGTCGTTATGGTATACAGGAATATTATCGTGGATTTCGTATCACCGTACTGCGTAATGGACCATCAACATTTCTTTATTTTTGTAGTCTTGATTATTGTGAGCAACGGTTATCCAACGAATTATCATCGCTATCAACAACCAAGCATCATCAATTTGTACGAAAATTTATTACCGGTGCATTATTGGGTGCTACAATATCCACACTAATCTATCCATTAAATGTTATACGTACAAGAATACAGATACAGCCAATAGGTACGAAACATATGACCATACGTACAGCATTCGAACAATTATTGATGGAACGTATCGGTACTGAACGTTCATTAGTGGCCGGTATACATGCTAATCTAGTGCGATCATTTCTACATTGGGGTTGTTTAACGGCCATTTCAGATTTGATTCGAAATAAAATCAATTAACCAACAGACTCATCAATCTTTTCCATTCTTTTTATGTCAATTTCATTTTGTGAAATGAAAAACAAAATCCGGTTTCAAAATCCTAATGATTGTCGGAAATAATCATTTATTTGAGATATGAATGATTGTAATCCGATTATCATCATAAAATGAAAGGAACATTGACTACCGATTACCTATATAGATAATCGATAAAGAAATTAAATGGCTGATTTCTATTTTTTTTCACTCTCACTCATCTGCTGTTCTCCTTTTGATCTGAATTATTCAAATGAATCAATGTGTAATACATAAAAATGTCAAAAAAATGATGAACGCGTGCATTTGATTATTTATGATGCAAATCAGAAGATGAAAAAAATTCATCCCATCCAATCATCAAATAATCAAAGGAAGGAATTAAAAAAATATTTCTTGATCACACGAGCACAATAATTTTGTGGGCTTGTCAAATGAATTGAATGGATTTATGGAGAACAAAATGAAAGATTTATCGGTATTGATGGCCATATATTGTTTTGGCATTATTTTCCATTAAACCGGATGATGATGATAATTGAGTGATGATGAGATGATCTTTCATTCACAATTCGTCTTCCATATTAACATACGACAACAACAGCAACAGGTAATATTAAACACTTCCTTGTTTATTTATTGCTGTCATCATCATCATCATCAACAACAACTATCATCACATCATCAAATGACCAATCTGTCAGGATCTCATTTTTCGACAATAATACCCGGCTAGATAAAAAAAACAATCAAACAGAAGAAAAAAACTTCCGATATACACTCCTAACGCGTTTATACGCGTAATCCTTATAGGACACGAACGGGAAAGCGAACAACGAGGTTTGGATTTTTCTGAAATTTTTCAATTTTTTAATGAAAAGTTTTTTTTTTATTTTTTGAATTGATGGATAAAAAACAAAATGTTTATGGTCATGAGGACATTGATCATTATCATTATATTTGGCCATCGATAAAATTAAAATTCATCATTATCATCATTCACACCAACGAGGAAAAAAATTTAATTACACATCCAAAATGTGTGTGTGAGATATGAATTTATTTATTTCTTTCAATCGTTATCGTTTTTATTCATTATCTTCATTATATGTACATGATTTTAAGAAAAGGAAAAAAATTGTCGACTATAATAGATCGGAAATAAACACACAAACACACACGACATCAATCAATCAATCAATCAACCAATCAATCGCAAATGAATGATGGGAAACCACGCAAGAAAATTGTTATTATTTTTTTGAATGAATGAAACATTTGAATAATTATCATCAGACTTGTGTGTGTTTATATGAGAAAAAAAACCATGAGAGCAGCAATGTCAATTATTATTATATGTTTTCGAAGAAAAAGATTTATGTGTGTGTGAATTAATATAATGTGTGATGTGTGATGTGATCAATTTGAAAATTGAAAATCCCTTGTATATGTAAGTGTGTGCATTAATAATGAGTAGCATATAATTTGATTTTGTTTGTTTGTTTGTTTGTTTGTCTGTTGTTTTAAAATTGTGGCACATCCGTATCATTCACTTCAATGCCACATACATCGGATATAAAATAATCCATACAAGCTTGGTATAGTTGTATCTGAGCAATAATCGATGAATTCGTGGACGATGGATATTTATCTTCTGATTCCACACGACATTGGCTATGATAATTCAAAACTTGACTTTCTAAATCTTCTTGTAGACGTTTATTTTTAATTTCTTTTTCTGCTTTGCCAAAATCATATCCACCTTCTTGTGTGAACCAACCCTCGGATCGTAATGCACAAGCAGCAATCTGTTCACGATGTTGTTCAACCGATTCACGTGTTATATTCGCCGGTAATGCTGTGGTTTCCAAACATTTCGTTATCACATTAGCTTTGGCTAATTTTTCTTGTTCACTTGGTTCTAATTCGGGACATTTGCCCCAATTAATTTGTGGTGATTGTGGCAGACTATTCATTGTAGATGTTTGAACATTATTGCCACTGACACCACCAGTACCGCCATGATTGCCATCTAATCCGCCATTAACATTTGTATTTTGCAAATGAATCGGTTTATTATTAACACCAATGTTTGGTGATTGTTGCGGTGGCGATGATGATGAACGGATATTTGGACCACCACCATTACCACCGATCGATTGATGTTGCCGGCCAAATTGTTGAGCAATAACTGGCTGTTGCTGTTGTTGTTGTTGATGATGATGATGATGTAAATGTCCAACATTTGCCGAACCGGATGTTGGAATATTATTTACACCTGGTATTGGATGGTTATTATGAGCATCACCACCATTATTGACAGCAGCAGCAGCTGCAACAGCAGCCAATGATTGTTGTGCTGCCAATAATTGTTGTGTTTGTCTTTGTAATTGTGCAAGCTGTTCAAGTAAATCTTGTTGCTGTTCAAGGGTCAATAACGTTGGTTGTTGTTGCTGATGTTGTTGTGGTTTATTATTGATAATCGTATTCGATTGTGTTGATGCCGATGTTTGTAACGGAATCGATGACGATGATGATGATGATGATGAAGATTGTGGTTGTATTGCCAATTTTACCGATGTATTTTGATGTGGAATGTTGTTGTTGTTGCTGTTATTAGTATTAGCATCGACAATAATGACCATTATTGCCAATGGTAATAGGAATGTATTTAACATTGTTAACATCATACGAAACATGATTGATGAAATTTGAAATCGTGAAGACTACTAGAAAAAACGATGACCAATAAAGGGGTAAATTGGCGAATTAGAAAAAAAAAGTTCGATGAACCCGGTTTTTCTCCTGTTTCTTTTTCTTCTTTTCAATCAAAAGATCGACGATCTTCAATGATTGTAATTAACAAAGACAAAATTGTAAAAAAATGAATGATGAAATTCAAAAAAAAGTCGACTAGAAATTGTAGCTGAGAATGAACATAATAAATTTTTTTTTTTTTGAATAAAAAAGAAAGAATTTATCGATGATTTTTAGTTCCAGAATTTAATATTAAATTGAATGGATAAAATACACAATACCAATGAAACAAGCACTAAAAAAACACACAGATATACACAATCGACCGACCGAGCGACCGAATCAGAAAAAAAAATTGAATGAAATCGAAAATTTTTCATACAAGTTTCTGTCTTTATATACTGGCCATATTGAATGGATGGACGGTCGTCTCTCACTCTCTCATTATTTTTTGGCCACTTCTTTACTTTTTTTTACATTTTCTCTTTATTCAAGATTTCTCTCTCAATATTTTCTTGGTTACTTGTCTGATAAAAACAAGCCGAAACTTGCAGACATTGGTTATTTTTTTCGTACACACACACACACAATGTACAACGAGAGAAAACGAAAACTTATAAATATTGATAAAATGATGACGATGGTCACCTGGACAATATGGATTGTAAAGAAAAACGTAAAAAGTTAATAAGGATTATCATGAAAAAAAACGAGGAATGTAATCAGTCCAAAAAACGAGTATACTGACATCTGATTATCTTAATCTTATCAAAATGGATATCATGTTGAATGAATTTCAATTTAAATTAAATTCGACTGAAAATAGTTTGGTCATCAATAATTGATGGATTAAACAGAAACGCAGAAAGCAGATGACAAATAAACTCAGATGATGATACCATCTATTTATTGTTTGTCGATATTGTAGGTGTACGGTGATAAATCGAAAACAGTTGTTATTGTCGTTGTTGATTTTGATGAAACTCATTTATGACAAGCTGAAACGATTTGAATTACGATGGCAATAATGATGATGATGATGATGATGAAGAAAATCATTGTGGTTCCGAGCTCTAATGTCCATCTTTTCTACTTCCGGCCGAAATCGACAATCAATGATTTTTTCTGTATGTTTGTTTGTGGTTTCTTTGTTCGTTCGAAATCCCCTCTTTTTGTCTCTTTCCACACACACACACTCAAGTATTTATTATTGGAACAAAATCACCCGGATCATTGTGTCGTGATCGTAATTGTTTCCGTTTTTTTCCAATTGGCAATTTGGTCATTCTTCTGATGATGATGATGATTTGGCCATTTTGTAAACAAAAACAAAAAACTTTTCTAATTTTTTTCCGACGTTTTCGTGTTCACCCTGAAGATAGATTTGGTCAGCTAAATCAAAATCATGTGACAGGTAACCGGATTTGATTGACCGATATTTTGGTTTTTTTCATTGATTGATTTTTGTTTTGTTGTATGATTTAAAAAAGTGTACTTCCTTGATATTATTTATTTATTTTTTTTCAAACAAATGCAACAAACAAAACGAAAATTGCAAAAAAAAATAAAAATAAAAAATCTTTTGTTTCAAACAAAATAAACTTCCTGGAAAAAAAATTTCGGAAAAAATATTTCCAATCAAATCGACAAGAAAAAAAATGACATTTTCTTTTGTTATCTTTCAATCATGATCAATGAATTTGTGGACATCGTATTGTGTGTGATCCTGATTGAAACAAATGGATTATAAAATGAAAGAAATTGGCCAGTGAGACATAAGATACGAAAAATGTGTCGTATTTCTCTTTTTTTTGTGAAAATTATTTCATTTCATTTGGTTGAATAAAACAAATTTAAATAAATAAAAATATGACAAACTTGTCAACAACAAGGTGTGTGAAATGGCTATTTTTGACCTAAATATAATTGTCAATATAAAAAAATTTATATATTTGGGAAGAAAAAAACACACTACACACACACACACAGCTCGAAAATAAATGATTATAGGATATATTTTTGTAAACAAAACAAAATGTTGACAAAAAACTATTTATTTATGTGGTCATTTTTTTCTGAATTTGAGAAATAATATTGTCCAAATGAGAATAACTCTCGAATAATCATCGATGACATTCACATTCACACACAGAATGATAAAATTATCGTATTTTTGATCAAATTAGGCCAGAAAAAAAATATACACTAGCCATTCATATCATCACCATCTCCATAATAATTATGAAATGACGATAATGGTAATGGCCTTAAAAAATTGTCATTAATAACAATTATTAACAAAAATATTCTCCTCAAGATAAACAAAACAAAAAAATGAAGATATCATCAATAAATGATGATATAGCTGTAGTTGGTAAATATTGTTTTGAAATTGACTTTTAATCGATATGTAACAGGTAATGACCAGAAAAAATGTCAACAATGATAAAATAGATGAAAATTGACCATCGATATTTTTTGTTCTTTAATGGTTTGAATTGTAAAGAACAACAAAAAACGAATGAATGAATATCATTATGATTATAACGATGGTATCTGCTGTTGTTTTTTTCGTGCCTTACTATCATCATCATTATAATATGATCCTTTCAACTAAAAATTGACACAAACATATTTTATATACAAGTGGGCTGACAATAATCAAGACCAAAATGGCCAAAATACCGGACTGCTGATGACCAAAGAAGAAGAAGGTGAAAATTTAGGTCATTGAACTAACTTTAGGTCATCATCATGAAGATTATGATGATGATTATGTGATTAGACTTAAATTCGCTTTTTTTACATATAATCCTTCTTTTTTTAAAAAATTACACATATTACTTGAGAAACAGAGAGGTCATCTGATTACGGGTAGCCAGGTTTTTTCTGTTCATTAAATTATTTATATAACTAAATTAAGATTCACCAAAAACACACCAAACGAACAAACGACACATATACTTGTTTGTGATGATGATGATGATGATAATGATGGAAAGAAAAATTTTCTTTGCTTTCAATTGAAATTATTGGCGGATGAATGAAAAAACTAATTCGATTTGATTTGAAATCCATATCGAATGAAATGAAATTGAAAAGAAAGACATAAAAAAATCTAGAAATAAACACACACACAGTCAATTAGTATGAAAAAAAACGAAAAAAAAAATTCATTTCAATTCCGATAAGATCTTAAAGGCTAAGGTTGATGATTACAGTAGCTGAAATCTTTGTCGGTAAAAAGACAAAAAAGGTCAAATTAATATTTGACCGATATTATCATCATCAATGATGGTTTTTTGTTTTGTTTTCACGATTTCATTATGTCTCACATAGACACACATATGGATTGATGTCATCGTGATGACAAGATATTTTAATGGAAATTATATAAAAAAAGAATGAAAACTTTTTTTGTATTGTGATTTGGAGAATGTTTCCTTGTTTGGCTGTTCATCATTGATTGATTTTCAACCATTTAATTTTTCAGCAATGATTTATTGTTCATTTTTTTTTTGATTGAATTTGGAAGAAAACGCGACATTTGTCATGTTTCGATAAATAGATTGTGTAATTAATTGTTGAACAAGAGAAAAAATTTTGTTTGTGGAAAATAAACCAGATGAATAAATAATTTCATTTTTGTTTAATAAATCAAAAAATAAAAGTGAAATTGAAAATGAATTTAAAAGATAAAATCAGTGTGTGACGAAAGTGATTTACGAAATCAAATGTTTTCACCAAAACAAAAGAAACAATGATTTCATCATAAAAAATTTGTCAAAGAAAATTGTTTTTTTGAAAACATTCATTCATGAATCAATGGTCAAGTATACAATGATAATCATTGTAGCATGTATTAGAGATTAGCACAATTTTTTTTTGGTTTATTCAATCATTTTGTCACTGAGAAAATAAAATCAGATAAGATAAATGACCATGGCAATGACCAAAAATAACAAATGTGCCAATCAAAACAAGTCAATGTCACTCTACAGCCACCAAACCAGAACCATCAAAACCAAATAGCCTTGACCATTGATGATGATTGAAAAGAAACAAAAAGAATCAATCAATCAATCAATAATCACATTTGAATTATTTTGTTTTTTGTTTATTCATCGGGTATATTTTTTCGATTTTAAAAAAATGACAAATTTACCATTTTCATGGCAACAACAAACAATTATAAAATTACAATTTCAATTTGCAAGAATTCAATAAATAATAGGCCCACACTTATCGATAATGATTGGAATCAGTTGTCATTTATTTTTTTGAATTGAAATTCAATTCATTTTTTTTTTCATTTTGTTACACAATTTTTTTTGGAAAATCGGAATTGAAAAGGTGTCTTGTGTGTGTCAAATGAAAACGAAAAATAAATTGTAAATAAATGAACAAATGCTGTTGATGATGATGATGATGATGAATAAAAATGATGATTGATTGACTGATATTTACATTTGAGAGAGAGAGAGAGAGAGAGAAAGAGAAATAAAATAATTTCGAAACAAAATTCTTGTTAATCGAATAATAAAATTGCCATTGAATTGAATCAGTCATGAAGATTGTTTGTTGTTGTTTTTTTCAAATCAAAACATTGATGACATTCATGTGTGTGTGTAAAAGTTTAAAAAATGTGTTCATGTTTAAACAATTTTCAATTAATTTTTTACAAAAGGGTTACTATTTTAATTTTATTAGAATTAGAATATATATTGAATCATCTATGATCAATGGCCAATGGATGGATAGATGTTATATTAACAACAAATAAATTCATTTTTTTGAAAGAAAGTAAAATTCAAAACGATGCTAAAAATAATAACAATAAATGACGATTGAAAGAAGATGTGTGTGTGTGTGTGTGTGTTTTGAAGGCAATAGATTTTCATTTTTACCTGAATTGTTTTCCAAACTTGTTAACAATAAAAAAAATTCAATCAATTTGAAATGGGCGATGAAACAATTGATTTGCGGACACTTTATTCCTTCAGTTCATCATCATCATCATCACAAACAAACAAATACAAATTTTCAATAACAAAAAAAATTTTCGGAATGTTTTTTTCAAAAATGAGTTGAACAGAAGTTTACCAGAGAAAAATTCAAATTTTTCACAATTTGATTCACAAATGAAATAAAAGTTTTGTCAAATTGATTGTGATGTGATGGTAAATCTAAAACAAAACAAAAACAAAAACAAAAGTTTAGAGAAAAATTGAATTTTACAAACAAATTGCACAAACCTAATTGAGAAATGTAATGATGACAATGCAATGTGATTCTTCTTCTCCTCTTTCTTTTCTTGATCTTTGTTGAAACATATCACACATTCATTTAATAGAATCAAAAAACCAAATAATTCGTTAATCAATCAATCGGTATCCATTTGACTGTCATTCAATTTCTTGATATCATTGTTGTCATTACCACGATCACCACCACCACCATTTTCAGCAATAGTGTTACAATCATCATCATCATTATTGTTATTGTTATAATTATTATCAGCATTTCTCATTACTTTGTCATCATCACCATCACCATCTTTATTATTATTGCTTATTGATGATGATTTAATTTGATCGATATTTGAACTATTAGTATTTGAAAGTAAAACAGAACCGGCAGTCATAATTGTACTGACAGTATTCGATGATGATGATGATGACAATGCCGTCGTCGTTCCTATTACATTTGATTGTTGTTGTTTCATTTGATTATCACCATTCGTTGTTGTTGTTGTTGTTGCTGTTGCTGCTGTTGCCATGATCGAAGTCGATACCGTTGTTGGCGATGTCGATAATTTCGTGGTCGTTGATGATGTTGTATTAGAATTCATGTTCATTGATGATGATTGTTGTTGTTGTATAAAATTTGAATTAGTAAAATGAACAATAACTTTTTGTAATTCTAATTTTGTTAAATCTTTTTTCAAACGATCATCTATCGTACGTAATGATGCGGCTAAACTGCGACAGAATGCCATATCTTCATCTTCATACTCGATGATTGCTTCATTAACGATGGTTCGTATTATATTACGCATTTCATCATAATCCAATAAAATTTTTGTCGATTTTATTGGCGTACTTGTCGTCTTTGTTTTCGCCGATATCGTCGTCGATGATGAATCAATACTACTAATACCGCTACTGCTACTGTTGTTACTACTTGATGTTATTGTTGTTGAATTTAATGAACCACCGCCACCACCAGCCACGATAACATTATTATTATTCAATAGAACTGGTGTATCACTAGCATTTGTAAATATAAATGTTTGTTGTTGTGATTGATCTTGGTGATGATTGAAATTTAATTTCGAATTTATTGTTGATGATGATGATGATGATGATGATAGTCGAATTGTTGAATTTAGTTGCTGTTGAGGCGTTGAATTCAGCTGAAGAATTGATGATTCGAAACTTGATGGTGAATTTTGTTGTTGTCGATGTTGTTGATTATGATGGGAGTGATGATGATCTTTGGTTGCTGGTGTAAAATAATTTAACGCTGTTGTTGTTGATGAGGATGATGAACTTTTACGAGCTGTAGGCGGTGATGATGACTGAATCGACGAGACCAATTGTTGTTGTTGTTGTTGCGATTGTATTGGACTTATTGTACCCAGTGATAATTGACGATTACGATGGCTACCACCACCATTGTTACCGCTATTGATATGATGTGAATGTAATGTTGGAACAGCATTTGCTAATGAAGTTAAAACAATTGTTGGTGTTCCAGGTGTTACTGCTGCTGCCGCCGTCGCACTGCCACTGATACCGGGAATTGTATTGGAATTTGTCGCAGCAGCTGCAGTCAATAATGGTAATGGTTGAAAACCGATAACAGAATTTTTAAGAAATATTGTTTGTTGTTGTTGTTGCAGTGTTGGTGTTGTTGCTGTTGTTGATGATGATGTCAAATGACTTGCCGTACCAGTCGCTGCTAATGTTAATCGATTCGTTGTTAAATTACCACCAACATTTGTTTGACCTATAGTGGTGTTGGTTGTAGGCGTTGTCGTCATCGTTGTGGCTACCGATGGAGCCTGTATCACTGAAAATGTTGTTGGTTGTAATGTTGATATGGTGGCGGTACCCATCGCAGCCGTTGATGAACCATTGGTGACTGCTGTACACGGAATACGTTGAGCAATAGCCGATGTTCCAATTATTCCAACTAAATAAACAAACAAACTAATCAATAAGAAAGTTTTGGCAAATATTATCAAACAAACCATTGCTAAGTGGTAAATGTATCGATTTGGCACCATTAATTGCTGCATGTGCATCTTGAGCATTTATAATAATAACTTCATGTTGTTGTTGTTGGTCATTTTGATGATGATGTTGACCATGAATAGCCGTAATTGTAGCAGTATTTTGGCCACCACTACCGCCACCACCACCACTAATATCGACAAAATCAATATCATGACCATTATGTAATGATTCGGAATCATCGTTATTATTTAAAATAGGACGGTTACTATTTCCACCACTACTAATCGATAAAGATCGAGTTCCGGTGGTGGTATTCGTAGCAGTATTTGAAATGGTATTTTGTGATTGTATAATCATTTCACCATTGGATAAAATATGATTATTATGATGATTATTGGCCAAGAATAACATATTTGTATAATGTCTCCAACGTGATACATATGGTTGATGATGTTGAGGACCGCCATTTGATGATGATGAATTACCACCATTACCACCACCACCACCACCAGCATCAGTAGCAGTATCATTGTTACCACCGCCGCTACTACCACCACCGGTTGATGATGGTGAACTTGTAACACGTTTATGTTCACGAAAAAATGTTGTACGTAAATTGCGATATTTTTCATAAACATCTTTACCTTTTTTAGAAAGTGTTAAAGTGTTAAATTTCAATTCAAAAAAAAAAAAAACAATAATGTTCTTACGTGTTAACTGCAAAAGTTCAGCAATACGATCCAATTTTTCCTGTCGTAATGTACGATTATTATAATCTTTATCTTTTGTATTCCATAATGATGGATTAATACGAAAATAATCAATCAATTCTTTCTCCTGTTCAAATGTTAATCGATGCATTTTTTCTTTTTTGATCAATTTGTTTAAAAAAAATAAATGATTATGAACGAATTATGATTATTATTATTGATTATATTAATGATGATGATGATGAATTTTATCACAAATTAATTTATTCCATTCGAAAGAATTGAGTAAACGAGTGAATGAATACAAACACACAATGAATCCCGGGTAACGGAATGGGCACCAATGGAGTTAAAAACTATTGAAATTGAAATAAAAATTCTTTGGAAATTTTTTCCGATTCACTGGATTATTGTTCAATCGTCAAATCATCAATTGTGATGTGAGACAATTTTCTTGAGACTTTTACGGCACCTAATGGAAATGAAAACAAAACCAAAAAAAACTGATCAATTTAAAAAATCCAATAATAATAATAATTTTTATAACCAAAAATAAAATATAAAATGAGTAAATTTAATTATAAACCAAAACAAACAGAAAAATTAATTAATTTTACATTTTACAAATAACAATGGCCATCACAATGGTTTTGGTAATATGAATATAAAAAATGTGGTCATCAATTCAAAACCCGGATATTCAAATGAATGACACAGAAAATTAATATGACAATATTGTACAAGTAAATGAAGAGCGAAAAAAAAACAATCCGATATCTGATCAATGAATTTGATCACATTTTTTTCATTTTGATTCTCTATCACTCACTATTCAATCAATCGTCATTAAGTGATGGAAGAACAAAGAGAAAGAAACGGAAAATAGAATGTGCACTTAACAAGTCCATTATCATAATTGATCTTACGATCATCATAATAACAGAATGATGATGATGTACACAGCAATAGAATATAGAATATGATAAGAAAAAAGGATATATAATATCCAAATATCAATAAATAGAAATAGAATGATTTAAAAATAAAAAAAGAAAATGCGGTTATATTAAGTATGAAAAAGTATAGTGAGCTAACAAAAAAAAAAAAAAAAAAACATGATCATGATGACGATGATATTCAAAACTAACCCTCAGAATTTGAAAAAAAACCGGAATAGAGTAATAGGAAGTAAAGAAAGGGGGAGAGAAAAAATTGCTTTCTTTTTTGGAACGAAAAAAATGAAACAAGAAACCGGCAATGAAAAAATTGTCCGAAAACTTTGATGATGACGATGGTTGTCGACTACTATTATGAGTGTGTGTGTACATGTTTTTGTGATTCTCGAAAATGGGAATAATAATATTCTCGAATTCTTTATTCTTTCATTCATTTGGTTGTCTGACAGACAGAAACGGAATTTTCCATGTTGGTGGATACCGAAGCAACTCTTACTGGCATACACACACAAAAATTGAATTGAAACAAAAAATGAAAGAAAAGAAAAGCTATGATGGAATTCTATTGTTTGGGTTAAATTCTTTGGTGATTTGAAAACAATGAATTCAATTCCATCAAAATGTACCTTATACCTCTCTTTCTCATCATCATCATAGGAATGCACATAAAGATCATAGAGGAAAAAACATTGAATGAAATGGAACAAAAAACATGTTGACGTTATATTATTTGTTTAGGGAATCCAATTTCAGATCCAATTTTTCATAGTGACATTAATATTGTCTTTGTGTGTTTTTTGTGTTTCAAAAAAATGAAAAATTCTGTGGTTTGCTTGGAAAGAATTTTTTTTTAAATCAAGATTTAGATCTAATAATTCTCTGTAAGTTCGAAGAAAAGCAAAAAAAAAGCTCAGCAAAATGATTGAATGACTGACTGATTCCATAAATAAATCTTTGAAATTTTTTCTTCAAGAGGTCAAAGAGATTAAAACATGGTGAAATTCACAATGATGATCATGATAAAAATATGGATTCGGAAGAAGCTAAAAATGATCGAAAAGAAAAATTAATAATTCCAATTCAATTTCAGAACCAACATTACACGCTTACCTTATTGATTGATTGATGACCATTCAAAAAGCAAAAAACAATCACATTTAGATCAAGATTGAAAACTGTAGATATAAAAAAAATGATCCCATTTTCCATGTCAAACCTTTTGATGATTCCGGATTTATAAGAGGTTTTTTTCCATTTGTTTGTTGCTGTGCATACATCATTTCTATATACTAAAATGCTTGCTTATAAATGCATAGAAATGTGTTTGAGGCAGACATCCAGAAAAATGCATTGAAATGTGTAGGCGTCAGACAAATGCATCGAAATAGGAGGGAAATTTTACAGAAAGACATGGCTTTCGATTCACAATCAAAATTCATAGAAAATTAACGCCGGGTTAAGCGGGATTTTACATTGAAAATTGAAAAAATGGCCCTGCTGGCCAGTATATTGGCTGGTTCAATATATTTGCCCAAAACACACACATACGTGTATCATCAAATCTTAAATCTTAAATCATATCAGTGAAATAAATTGGTATCATTTGGATTCGCTTGATTTGTTGTTGTCGTTGTTGTTGTTGTTGGTTTGAATGGCAAATGATCACGTCGTCGTCGTCAGTATTTTATTATTATTCTCTTTCATCCAATTCAGTTTGGTGATTATCAACAATTTATCATTAATTATTGTCGTCGTCTGTTACGGTACACACCACAAATAATCCAATCCAATGATGATGATTAAAACAATAAAGCTATCTTTTTTTAAAACCTCGTTTATTATCAAAACGAAAGCTGATGATGGAATTTTGAAATTTTGAAAAGAAAAAGAATCAATTAAAGAGAGGGAGGGATTCTTGTTTGTGTGTATGTGTGTGTTTTTCAATTGATTTTAATCATCAATTTTTTTGGTCTGTTACAAAATTTCAATGTCGTCATTTAGTCATATTTTGTCGGCTTTCAATTTGATCATAATCAATGAATGATGATGATGGAGAAGACAACAAATGATACACATACGCATACACACACATACAGAAAGAGAGAGAGAAAGAAATGGCCAAATTTATTGAAAATAAAATATGAATCAATAAACAACAACGACATTGTCAATGCAAAATTCAATTGAATTATGATGATGATGATGATGAGTGTATGTATTGGAAGAACGAGCAATCATCATCATCATCATTAAATTTAATCAATCGAACAAACAAGCGAAAAACCATTGAATGAAATGATTAAAAGAATAAAAAAATTCAGTGCAAATTCAATTGATGATTATGAATGAATGGATATGATAGCAACAACAACAACAACAACAAGTGCAACTCATTTGTCAGCAACAAAAAACAACAACAATATGGGTGTTTCTTGTTCAATTTTTAATATTAAAAAAAAAATTTTAATGTTATCAGATAGAAAAAGAGAGAAATCAAACTTTTGTAGAAAAAAGTTTTCATTCACACACTCACTCATCCATTCAAACTTTTCAATTCAATTTATGATCGACACACCCCTCCCACCGATTCCTTGATTTCGACTTTTTTGTTGTTGTTTCATTTGAAATAAAATCAAAAAAGACAGACAGACATTGAATGCAATCAATAGTAATGTTGCCAACAGTATTATATAACCATGATGAACATAGTTTCCCACTACAATCGAATTGTTGTCGTCGTTCGATGATTGATAATGGATCTTGATCTAAATAGATAGAATATATTTTGATTTCTCTGGAGACACTTTTTTTGGCGAAAAAAAAACAAAAACAAAAACAAAAATCAGAAGAAAAAAAGTTCAATCAAAATATTATATTATTCAATATTGTCATTGTTCGGAGGGCGGAAGATGGATAACAATCTCTCGATCACGATGACATTATCTTTTTGCTTATTCGATGTTCAACAATTCATATCATTACCATAATAATCATTTTGATCATCAAAAATCATATATACCCCAGTGATGAGAAAAATATAAAGGCAAGAAAAATTTGTTGGTTTTCTCACATCATCACAAACACAAAAATAAAATGTTTTTTTTCAATGAATTAAAAAACTACAAAAAGAAAAGAAAATTCCGAATATCATCTTGGCGGTAAATGATTTCACAACAACCACAATCACAAATCAAATTGACCAAACATCAATCACCCCCCGTTGATGAACAATGAATTTTCGGCGCCAATTTATTCATTCATACATGATGTGGAGCCTATTTATTGTTTCGTTTCGTTTTTTTTGGCGGGTTAACACAAATGTGCATACACACAGCAGATACATGCATACATACCAGATTTGTGAGGCTATACATTCATGAATATATTGCAGGTGGCAACACACAAACACACACACACACACACACCAGGTAACACCGGCTGGATAACATCATCATCAATATCTAATGTACAATTGTAAATGTGGCTAATACCTGATCTAGGTATATGAACAAACATACACACACACACACACACACAATACACACATACACACACACACGCCCTATCCATTACCTAACAAAAATGTTTACCAATGACCGATCATTATGGATTCATATATTTTAAACAAAAACCCAACAATAAAAAATTTAACATAATAAAAAAATACACACACAAACATCATCACCATTAAATTGATTCAGACAAAATGATTAATTAAAAGAAAAAACCTTACCTGAAAAATCTTACAATAATGATTATCATCATCATCATCATTATTAGCAATAAAAATGATTGCAATGTAATAATTGTTCATTATATTTGTAGCTGTTGTTGTGGCATTTTTTTTTATTATAATGCTGTTATATTTGAAATTTGCAACAATTACATGATGATGATGTGGATTGCAATATAATGATGACGATGATGATGATGGTTGTTGTTGTCGTCTTAAAATCTCTTTTTGACAGAATTGATTATTGAAACAAAACAAGCAATTGAAAAAATGAATTCACAATTCATTCAAACTGAGATAATATGAAAGAGAAAAAACACAATCACCATCATCGTAATAAGTCCATGATTTTCATCTGAGTTCGCTTACTGTATCCATCCATCCGTTTTATTCAATCAATGATCAATAATCAATAAATAAGCAAAGAAAAAAGGAATCAAATTAAACATTCAATATATTTCAACATATAACATATACATACATTATATACAAATACACACCCACACCAACATACACACGATTAGGTCGCCAATAGGACACGATGGATTGGCTTGGCTTGTGGTTTAGATTATTAATTTATTTTTTTATTTTTTATTTATATTTATATTTATATTTTATTAATTATTGTTGTTGCAATGTGGATGGAACTTTGATGATGATGATGATTCGAATTTTTTTTCAGATATTTTTTGTTGTCTGCGTGTCTATGGCCATGGTTGTCGTCGGCGATTTATTGTGTGTTTGTGTATGTGTCGACGACGACGACAATCGATGTTTTTTCACTGATGATGATGATGATGATTATTAATGAAATTTATTTTTTCTTTTATTAATACACACACTTTACACATGAACATTCTTTTGGTATCCACAAGGACCAAAAAGTGTGTGTGTGTGTGTGCTCGGTTTATATCATCATCATCACCATCATCATCAACGAAGGTAAACGACGAGCATGTATGATATATATACCGGATTGCAGACGGCAGCAATCATTCGGATAATACAGTGATATGTTGATTTCTGATTTGGTTGAATCATTCTTTTTTGGTGTTACCGAATTTCTTCATGAACCCAGTGCCACTGTATGTTGATGAATTTTGCCGATATGTTTGAGCTCTATCCATCTAAAAATTGTTGATAATGATAAGTTGCAACTTTGCAATTTTTTCCCCATATTAAATTGATTGTACTGCTTCCTCTTATTTACTGACGTTATCAGCAGCTGCAACAATAGTATCCGATGATTCCACTACTTTTCTCATTTTTGATTCAATAGTAGCAATAGTAAATGGTATGTCCATTGTATATATCCTCGAAAAGGTAGTAGGCTTGCCATTTGATGATGGAAAAAAATTCTTATGTATCCACTAAAATGGATATTTGGAATCTATGGAAATATTTCTGTCAATAGTAGTGGCAAATGGATCCAATTGTAAAAAAATGTGAATACGTATTGATCATGCGCACATCAATTTATACTGTATCAAAATCAAGTCGAAAGACCGGTATTTCTGCTAGTGGTTCGGAGAATTCAAATGTTTTTGAAGAATTTGAAAAATTCCGAGCTTATGCTGAAAAAAAGTTACGAAATTTTGTTTAGAAAATAAATAAAAAAAAATAGATTTTTTTTTATAATTCATTTAAATTTAAATATTAATTATCAATCAATGAAGGCCATATCGAGTGTAAGTTGATATAATTATCATCAATGTATGGAAATAAAATTTGAAATTGTCAATTTGATAAGCAGTATACAGAATCACAAAAATGGATGAATGAATGAATAACACCTGTCGAACCTGTGTTCAAATCATTCCAGCAAACATTTGTGTATGTGTGTGTTTCAGTGGTTGGAAAAAAATGAACAAATGAATGAATGAGACCGTAACCAAGAAAAGAAAGATAAAAAAAATATATAATTAATTGTTCAATAATGGAATTTGTGAATCATAAGAATTGTATAATATAGTAGTACTAGTAGTTAGTAGTAGTTAGCAGTAGTGGCGGTTGCAATTTGTAGAATCATCAATGACGATAAGAGAATATTTTTTTTTAAAAAAGTACAAAACATCATTTTTAGAATAAATGAATGTTTGAGCGGAAAGGTGTGTCGGTTTGTCTGTCTGTATGTATGTTTCATGGTGTTGAATCCCGGTTGTTTTGTTCAAACAAATTGATTATTGAAATGAATCAAAAGAGAGAAAGAAAAAGTTGAATAAATAAAAGAATATCATATATATTGATTAAACGGAAAAGAACAAAAACAACAGCAACAACGTACACAGACAACAAAGCAAAGTTAAGGCAAACAAAAAAAAGAAAAGAAAATCAATGGTTCAGTATGCGAGTGCGTGTGTGATATTACAAAAACAGTGTGGCTAAACGGAAACAGAAACAAAAAAAGATGATCATCGTCATCGTTAATAGATGTTTATGATAAATGTGTGTATGATAAATTTTGTTCGTGATAACAATCGATAAAGATATGTAAGAAAAATGTAACGATTAAACAAAATTTGGATTAGAGTTGATTAGATTTTTTTTTCTTTAACAAAACACAATATCATCATCATAAGTTTTATTGGCAGAAAATATATATAAACGGTAAATGAAAGAACCATTTCATCTTGTGTGAAAGCATTATCTATGTATGTGTGTTTGTGTGTATTGCACAAAAGTTGTTGTAGAAAAATGAAATGAGTATAAATCTCTCTTAATCAATCATCATCGATGACAATGGTTGATATTCGACGACGCTTTCTTGGTTTTTTTATTGAAACAATTCTTGTGGCAGTCGTCGATTGTTGATGTTGTTGTTGTTGTTGCTGTTTGATCATTGACATTTTCATCAAAATTCTTGCTCTTATCGGTGGTGTTGATGATGGTTTTTGTTGATCATCGTTGTCTGAATTATCTGATTCAACATTATTATTATTACGATCCATTAACCCAAATGAATGGTCATCATCATCATCATCATTACAATTATTTCGTGGACGTTTTGAACGCTTGATCGAATTCGTTGATGATGATGGTGATAATGTAGCTAGAAATGCTTCAACTTTATTATTATCAGCTAGAACTGTATTATTATTAGATGAAATGGATGCTGATGATGAATATGTTGATGATAATGACGATGATGATGATGATGCTTGATGACCACTACTACCAACACTAATGTTCATACCATTTCCAGTAGATGATGATGATAATGAATGTATTCCTGAATCATAACGTCGACTTGATGATGATGATGAGGTCGATGATGATGATGATGATCCAGAATTGATGCTAAAATCAATCACTTCAAATTCGGCAGATTCATCATCATTATCATTATTAGTTTTTTGTGTAAAAACAATTGAATTGGAATCGATAATTGAATTTGTGGTATTTATAGATCCTGATGATGAACTCGTTGCTGTTGTTGTAGTCTTTTTCTTTTTGAATGTCATTTTTAAATGACCTTGTGATTGTTGTTGTTGTTGTTGTTGTGTCGATATGATTGGCGCTGTTTCCATTGATTCAACACTAACATGCTTTGATGTGTTAGTCATCATCATCATTGTCATTGTTTGTGCAGAAGCCATATTTTTTTGTTCGTTTATTGAGAATTTATTTGTCTTGCAACTTGGACTCATGTTGGAAGGATCCATTACAATCATTTCATTAATCCATGGATGTTTCAATAATTGTTGCATAGTTAAACGTTGTTTTGGATTGATTGTTAATAGACCATTAATCACAGATTTACATTGAGCGGATATTTTCACCTGACTATTAATCCACATTGTATTATGATTCAATTCTTGTCCAGAAAGTATTCGTTCCAATATATATGATGCATAATTATTGACAGCAGTAGATTTTTTTGAATTTTGTGTCAAAGAATTTCTGTGCTGCTGTTGTTGATAATGATGATATGATTGTTGAAATGGTACGCGACCAGTGAGCATCGTATAAAGTACAGCACCAAGGCTCCACAGCTATGATTATGATATATCAAAGTCATGAATAATTAATTACAAAAAAAAAATTCCTCAAAAAATCATACATCACAGCTATTATCGTATCCATCACGATATAAATGATTAGCAAATGATCCACGTGTAGTTGTCCATGATCGTTTCGATGTAATCATTGAATTCTGAGATTGTATCACAGCCTGAAAAAGTACCTCTGGTGCAGCATAATTTAATGTACAACATGGTGTTGTCATTCGATAACCAGATGAGGGTATGAATCGAGCAAAACCAAAATCAACCAATTTGATTTCTGCCTCATCATCATTATCATCATCAAATGTTTCGGAGGCGGTATGTTTGAAAAGGACATTCTATTCATTTAAATAAACAAATTGATGCTGGATCAAAAAAAAGGAAAACAACAACAAACCTCGGGTTTCAGGTCACGATGAACAATGCCACGGGAATGTAGATATTGTACAGCGGAAACAAGCTGACGAAATACAAGCCATGCTTGACGTTCATTGAAACGACGATTAGTTGATTGACGAATACGTGATGATAGTTCACCACCAGGTAATAATTCCAAAACGATAAACATATATTTATCATCTTGAAATACTTCATTTAATTGTACAATGTTTCCATGTCCTTGACATGCATGCAATAATGACCGTTCATTCAATGCTGCATCATATGATAATCCGGTTTCTGAATCACGACGCCAATGTCTAGAGACAATTTTCACGGCAAAATGTTCACCCGTTTTACGATGACGACATCGATGACATATTGAATAGCTACCATCACCTAGCCAACCTAAATCTTTATATTGATTTGTTGATGATGATGAAAATTGTTGTTGTTGATGTGATTGTTTACGGCGCCCAGGACCCACCAATTCATAATGATCAAAGAATTCATGATTTTTTGTTTTAGATACATTCAGTTTATCGCCATTATTGTGGCCACTAATATCTGAACATTCATTGACTAGTTTCCAGATATCAGGCCTATGAACACGATGTGTTTGAGACATTTGTTGCTGATGATGTTTTGGTTGCTGATATGATTGTAATCGATAAATCGGTGGACGAATCGATGATAATGATGACGACGATGATGATGGTGATGATGATGATTGATCAATGATTAATGATGGCGCTATATATGAATAGTCAACAAATGGATCATCCTGATCATCATCGTCATCCTCGCTATTAGGATCACAATTATTATTCGAATCGGCAATCTGTTGATGTTTATTTTGAGTTGTTGGTGGATCATTGCCCATCAATAATGAAACATTCGGTACAAGACGTGTGAATTCTTCAGCAAAATTACTTGTATCTAATTCATCACGAATATTTGGACGAAATGGTGCCGGTACACGTCGTTCGGCTAATGCTTTCCAATCGATTGATACAAAAAATGGATGTCTTTTAATCTCATCGGCATCACGATTACCACCACCTAATCGTCTATCCGGATCTTTAACCAATATCATCTGTAATAGATCACGAACTTCTGGTGATAAATGGCTAGGTATCGGTGGTTGTGAACGTAAAATTCGTTTTGAGATCTCTTGTTGTGTATTACGTTCACCATCAACGGTGAATGGTGATGCACCAGTAAGTAGTTCGTAGATTAAAACACCGAATGACCACCAATCAACTATTGAAAATATTTATTAACAATCAAATCTTTGATTAAAACATAATGCACCTACCACTAAAATCATGTCCATTACCACCAACAATTTCGGGTGCCATATATTCGATTGTTCCACAAAACGAATGTGTACGTTGATCCTAAATATATAAACCGTGGATTAGGATAAATTGATGATAATGCATCACATACAGTTTCATGAGGTAGAAATTGTTTACAAAGACCAAAATCGGCCAATACGATATGTCCATCATGATCTAATAGAATATTTTCCAATTTTATATCACGATATATAATTCCAAGCTATGAAGAAAGAAGAAATTCACGATAAATGAATAATTGATTACAATCTTAGTAAATGTTTTCATTGTAGTTGTTTACATGATAAGAAAAACAACAAAAAACAAACCTTGTGTAAATTTTCCAATGCTAATACTAATTCGGCTGCATAAATACGTACAGCATCTTCGGTGAAATAATCACGTTGATATAAATGTGTGAATAGTTCACCACCATTAACATAATCTATATTTAGTAAGCAGAAACAAAACAAAACAAAACAATGTTTTGGTCATTTTGGATTGATTAATCTATAAGGATCTCGATAATCACCCACACACATACCAAGAATAAGATGTAATTTAGTGGCTGTTTGAAATGCATAATGCAATGAAACAAAAAATGGTCTACGTCGTACCACTTCAAGAACCTGTCGTTCAGTACGTGTATGTTCCAATGTTTTCTGTTTTTGCATTACCGATGATTTTTTCAATACTTTCATTGCATATAATTTTCCATTATCTGGACCACCACCAATTTTACGTACTAAAAATACCTATGAAAAAAATAGATGAATAAAGTAAGAAAGTGTGATGAATTCATTTGCATAAATACAAAAAATATCAGAATAAACTAAGTTACTAAAAATAGTAATATGAAACCAGAAAAATAACATTATGATGATTAAAGCAAACAACAAACCTTTCCATAGGCGCCAGTTCCTAAAACTTTGAGTATATCGAAATCATTCATGTCGACAGATGTTGTTTTCCTATTCGAAATGATGTTGTTGTTGTTGTTGATGATGTTGTTGTTGTTGTTATTGTTGTTGTTGTTGGTCATCATCATCATCAAATCGATATTCTTTCCACGAGTTTTTCGTTGATGATGACGATGATGCTGGCTGCTGCCATTAATCAAAGAATTTGCGTCAACAACATCATCAACGTCATTATTATTATCGATTCTTGATTGTTTATTTCGTAAAAAATTCGACAAATTATTTTGCTTCTCCTTCTCGGTGGTTGTTGTTGTTGATGGCAATTTCAATTGCTGAGATCGTCGTATTGCTAATTTAATTGTTGTTGGATGATTATTATTATTTTTATTATTGTTATTTGTACAGTTTATACAATTTTGAAAACTTTCATTTGATTTTAGTGTTTTATTGGCCAAACATTGATTATTCTGTTCTTGATGATGATGATGATGATGAGGCTGTTTTTGTATTGCTGCTACAAGTATGTTAGATGGGTTAATGACATTCATTGATTTTTGTTTGGATGACCGAGTATCTTTTTGTTGTTGCTGTTGTTGTTGACAATCATCAAATTCATTGACTAAATCATCATTATCCGTGTTCAACATTGTTGTTGTTGTTGATAAATGTTTCGTTTCAAGAATTGATTTTGTTTGATTATTCAATAATGACATTGACCGATCATGTGGATAATGATGATGAGTATTATTATGGTCAATATCCGTCAATGATAATTGTTTTTCATGAGTTGATGATGATGATGATGATGGCAATGTTTTTATAGGAATATTTACGTTGGAGATGTCACCATCATCATCATAATTAGGATTATTACGTTCGAACACTATGGCATTGATCTTTGAATCTGTTGTTGTTAATGTTTGCTGTTGCTCTTGTTGTTGTTGTTGTCCATCCACATTAACATCCGAAATCAATGACCGACAACAATTATGATGATGATGATTGAGAGCTGTTGATGTTATTTTTGTTTGACAACAACAACAACAACAATTTTGTATGATTTGTTGTGGTTGCTGTTGATCATTTTGGCAACACGGTGATGACTGTTGATTCTGATTCAATGTAGAATCTGCTATAATGAGAAAATAGAAATAGAGAAAAAGAAAAAAAAATCAATTAATCATCAAAAACACGATGGACAAATAAAGACTTCAAACACATACAACCACACATTCTGGAAAAGGAATAATAAACAAAACAAAAGAATTCACACATGAACTAATCAAATTCACTCACAATCAAAATTCATCACCGTTTTCATCGGCATAATATTTATTTTGGATCAAATTAACATTTGAAAAACAGAAAATTCAAGGTTTGTCTCTCTCTTTCTCTCTCTCCCTATCTCACTCTCACACGCACTATCTATGCGAATATAGCAACGGCATTACAAATCGAAATAAATGTGGAGAAGAAAAATTACGACGTAGAGAGTAATATTTTTTTTGTTTTCCAAAAAAAATATCCAGAATACAATCCACACTCACCATCATCAGATATTGATAAAGATGGTGATGATGATGAAATGTAAACATTTCACAAATGTAATGATGAATTAAACAAAAAAGAAGTGATTCTCTCTCTCTCTCCCTCTCGTATCCAGAAACAGAATAATGATAATGGACACACAGATTTGAAAATAAATCCTTCGAAAGAGAAAAATGTCGAAATGGATGATTTTCGGCAACTTGAAGCGGAACACAGACACATATACAAACAAAAACAATGAAATGATCAAAATATAAAAAAATGAAATGAAATCAAATTCGAAAATCGTCGTCGTCTGTCTCTGTCTGTTTCTCTCTATGTTGTTGTCTTTACCAATTACAGACACTCTTTTTTTCCATTGCTCATCAATACATACACAACATACATACATTGCTGCGTTTAAATTTTCCTGTGTGTTCCTCTCCTTACCATCATTTTTTTTGATAGCTTGCTGGCTGCTGTCGTTTTTTTTTGATGCCTGGTATATATTATATGACACTTGATGATGATAATGATATTTCCTTTCGAAGATCCTACGACGACGACTATGATGATGATGAGCAAAAAAAGTGAGCCATGAACATACACACAAACACATGGAAAGAGAGAAAGGAGCAAATATGTATGATGGCTATATGGATTTGATTTGATTTGATTTGCTCCAAACACACAGACGCACACACAATGATTATCAATTGATGATCGATCACAAAATTGAAAAACAATCATCAAATAGTCAGAATCAAAGAACATTTATTAGTCGATTGTGAATAATTTCAAATGCTACAGGTTTTTCAAATAAAAAAAAAAACAACAAATCAACGCCTGCGTACTGTTTATGGCGCCAAATTCAAAAATGAAAATTGTTTTTATTTATTTCAAATAAAATGATTATAATAAAAAACAGAATCAACCGATTTTTTTCGATTGGTCGATTGATAAATTGATTAAGTAATCATCTCATGCATTTGGAAATGGAATGAATGAAAATATGAAACATTAGATTCACAGAAAAGTAATGTTTTGACCTCATTATAATCATCATCAAAAAAAAAAAGAACAACAGCAGCAACAACAACCTGTCATCCACATGTTACTCTAGCTAGCAAGTGCACTACAATTCCATATAGCAATTCATCATCACCATCATTGTGGAACAAGATTTTTTTCGTTGTATGTCCCAAATTTTTCTCTTTTTAAACTTTCAATTTCTTTAAAGATTTGCTTTCTTTTCTTTCATTCGGGCCACCGAAAAAAGCCAAAAAATCATCATCATTATGATTCCCATATTCAGCCTGCAAACGAGAAAAAAAATCTACAAAACAAAAAAATATTGAAATTAATCGACGAAAATGCAAACAAAAAAAATTATTGCCAACGTGGAACCTGTTTCTTCTCTTCATTCACTCGTGTGTGTTGTTCCAGTAAGTATATGCGTCATTGTATGAGAAAACATGATTTGTTTATTATGTTCACTTTTTGCTCATTATTTATTTTTTTTGTCCGAATTTTGGACGATGACAATTTCATTGATTCTCACAAAAAAAACAAAACCGACAATGAATGAATGAATGAATGATTGATGTTCAGTGCAACAAAAATAATGATATAGGATTCTTGTTTATCATTAAATAATTCACCAAAAAAAAATTCACCGATATTTGTATACAATTTGAGGATTTGTACATTTTTTTCCACACAAATGTTATCCAAAAAAAAAATCGAATTCTGCAAACAAAATTTCTCTAATCGATAATCAGACACATATCTAATCTCTTTTCGTTAGGTCTATACAATGTATGTATGTACATTATCGATGTACATTGTGCGTTTTTTAAAAAAAGAAATCAGAACTAAGAATTTATCAATATGTGCACAGCAAACCTTGACTGACTAGAATTTGGTCGAATTACTGATAAGCAATCACTGATTAAATATTGAATTCAAAGCAAATGAAAAAAAATTGTCAAAAACAAAACCTGCAACAATTCCCCATCAAATCATTATCGGAGAAAAAACCGGATCATTTTTTTCAAATATTTAAATCAATGCAATGAATGAATGAATAAAAATCGGGACAGTAGAGCACTGGGTAATGTCTGCATGTATGTGTGTGTGACCTACAGATGATGAGAGCAAGAAAAAAAAGAGATGTCATTCGAAAACTTTTGAATGAAACACGGTTATTATGATTATTATGATGGTGGTGGTGGTGGTGGTCGATTTTTCTCACCCATTTCACAACTATTTCATCGGAATTCATTTTATTCCCTTTTCTCTATCGATCGGAACAAGACAAACGGCAAAAAAAAAATCTTAACCAACAAGTTTCCAGGTTGAAATTAGAAAAGTCAACCATAAGTAGTCGTAGTAGCAGTAATGATAATCATCATCCGATATAATAGATTTGAATTTTGACCTCAAAGATCCGAAACATACACAATCTCAATATTGTTGTATAGTCATCATCATCATCTGGGCGCCATTCATCATAGTCATCAATACAAAAAAAAACCGACTTTTTAGACCTGTATTTGTACCATATACGTGTATACCGGCGGTAAATAAAAAATCATCAAAAATAAAAGAGAAATATCCATGGCCATAGATTGTATATAAATAAATCCTATTGATAGTGGTGGTGGTTATCATTGATTCACTCTCTTAGTGTGTGTGTATAGTGCCACATTTCCTCATCCACATTCAACACTTACAGAAAGAGAGAAAGAAACATAAATTCAAAAGAAAAAAAGCTTGCGCAACAAGTTATGTGTGTGTGTGTGTGTGTTCCCCCAACCATTCAAATAAAAGTCTGTTATTCTTTTTTAAAAAAAATTAGAAAAAAAACCGACCGACATTCATCCTAACAGCAAGTTATGGACAATGATATAGACAGTAAATATTAAAAAACCTGTTATATAAAAATTTTTGACTAAGTAAGTAGCCAGTATATGCATGGATATCTCTAATGTTAAGGTTTTACCCGTGATAAAACTATTCAAACAATTTTTCCGATTATTTCATCTACATTAACGAACAAATGAATGATGGTTAATAGAACGGAATATTTGTGTATGTGTGTGATTCAAGTTGTTTTCCTTAGATTTCCAGATCATTTCTTGGTAGACAATACTGGAAAGAAAAATTGATGATGGAATATAACGGGAGAAGAAAAAATCGAAGAAGTAGTGGTGGTGGTGGTGGTGGTCACACAAGCAACAATAATAATCTCTATGAAAGAAAGCAAGTGAAAAAAACATTCAAATTGCTGTTATGTAATTGTATTTTTGTATTCAATTTCTAACGAACAAAAAAACAAAAATCCGATTCAAATGATGATAAACAGACCAAAAAATTAAATTAATTAACTAACGAAAAAAGAAAAAAGATAATCAAATGCAATAAAAAAAAAGTTTAAATTCAAGATTTTTCACAAAAAAAATCATCTTCATCATTAGAAAGACCTTGCGGTCCAAGACGAAATTTATTTTGGGAGAATTTTTCATTTTTCAAAAGAGAAAACTTTCAGCCTAAATACAACATATTCACATTCATCACTACCACCATCATCATCATCATCATAATCATCCAACAAAAGCCACAGGACATGAGGACAGATTATAAAAAATGCCACTTGAATGGAAAATGTGAAAATGATGATAATAATGAAAAACGACAATTTCTTGTTCCATAATAGTCCGACAACAACATCATCGTCATCATCATGGATTCCTCAACATTCGAACAATCAAAAGCATGATGATCCGTCTTTTTTTCAAGTGAACAAAAAGAGCTTTTCTCTCTCACATACTTCATTTTCACTTTTTGTGATGATGATGCCAAGATTTCTTTATTCGGACTGTTTGCTTTTACTTTTTTCTGTTTGTTTCCATCATGCTTACAACATCATTTTAATCAAAGAAAAAAAAACTCAAATCAGTTGAATTTGAAACCTTGTAATTATCAATAAATTATTTAGGCCAATGAATATGGGTTTGATCAGATGAACATTTTTTTTCCGGAAAAAAATTTATCAAAATTCATCAACCAAAAGTGGACACACCAC